TCTTCTTTGTCAACTGAAACAGTGATTTTGCAATTCAACTGTAGTTTCTTATGAATTGTTGATAGAAATTGCCAAATCTTAGAAATAACTAAACTTTTTTAACTATAATAGAGGTCTGTCATCTTACAATGACAGCTGTCTTCACTGAGTCTGCCTCAATTCCTTCTATGCTGATGATGAATTCTAAATATTTTGTTCTCTGGACTGCATACTCACATTTCTGAATACTGACTTGCAAATTAACTATTTTTAATTAATCTAGTACTAAATTTATCTGCTGCTTATACTCCTTCAGATTCTTGCTATAGATTAGACGATTATCTATGAATACTATCATATACTTGTCTAGATAATCAAAGAAAATACTGTTAATAAATCATTGAAAGCAGGTAGAAGTATTTATAAGATTAAAGAGAATCACTCAATATTTATTGATTTTATAATAAGTTCTAAAGATGATCAGATTCTTGAACTCAAAGTTTATTTAGATGCAATAAAATCCCTGCTAAATGTTCAGCTTTATAAAGTACTTTATCTCATTGAGTTAATCTATCAGCTCATCTATTAAAGGCAAAAGATATTGATCTTATTTGATTATAGCATTCAGCTTGCAAAAATTGACACAGAATTATAACTTCTTCCCACTATGAGTAATTAAAATTGAGAAAGTGTAGAAAACTGAACTTGATATGATAAAGTTCTTTACTAGATTGAATTTGAAATAGATCTTCATTATCTCTAGTTCCTCTAGATTCATCTTATATAGAGGCACATGTTCAATACCTTAGATGAGATCAATGTTAGACTAAAACTTTATTTTAAAATCAATATTCTTCTATAGAAAGAAAAATTTATTTAATATTTTCTTTGAGAAATAGTTCTTCTAATCTTTCAATCATTCTGATAAGTTGCAGATTAGCTTCTCATCAGATTTATTCTCAGCTCTCACTAAACTCTGCTTCTTCTCAAGCTGTTTATTAATTTCATATAGATTAATTATGAAGACTATTGAGTTCTTGTTCTTCATATAATTATGAAAGAAAACAGTCTCAATAAAGTTTATATTCATCATCTGTAATACTGTCTCCCCTCAGATCAGTCTCTGCCTTGTTTTATATATCATGACTAAGCTGATTTCTTTCAATCTGCAAAGCTGAGTCTGACACTCCTGTCTAATCTTCTTGTTCAATTTGATCTCTCTTTGTTTCATATCTGTTTGATGCTCAAACTTAGAGTTTGAGTACTTCAATATTGACTGAGATATTATCTTCAACATCAGCTCTGTTATCTGTTTAGAAATAAAACATTCACTTGATCAAACCAAGTGTTGATTTTTAACATCAAGTCATATATCTTATGCTGTCAATCACTTTTATCTCAGAATGACAGGATGCTGATCTAGATTCATTACTAGCAAAGGAACATTCTGAAATCTCTGATCATCCACCTAGAGATTTAAAGTCAATGTGCAGTCTATCACCTCACTAAAGGTATCATTGTATCCCTTTATACAGTATTTGAATGAGAGTTTTTGAAAGTTTTTATTAAAAAATCTCACTAATTCTATAGTATATCAGATATTAATAAAATTTATATCATTCACTTCAATATCAGTAAGAGAATTTGTAGAAGTAGTAATTTCATTATAAACTAACTTGATTGATATATTAAAGTTTTTTCTCTCAATCAAGTTCTTCATATCAAACTTCTCATAAACTATTGAACTACCTGAGGTGAAGTCTTCTCTCAGACTCACTCTTTTCTCAAATTCATTGAAGACTCAGGAGCATCATTCTCTGTGAGCTTAATGATTATCTGTTGAGACTTCTATTTCATGAGATAATTTCTTGTAATATAATCTTTCTTCTTGTAGTAGTAGCATTAAATATCTGAATAAGTGCTCATAATTTTCTTCATAATAGAGGATTTTATAGCAGAGATGTCAGAGGAAGTCTAACTATTGAAAATCTATAATATATTTTGCTTAATAGTATTAAATTCATTTCTCTGCAAGCTTTTTTGACTTTAGAGTAACATTGATTGTCTGAAAAATATGAGCTGCCTGAGTACAGATCTTCTGAAACTTAGTATATATATTTGTGATTGCATTGACTACTGCTATCATTCTCTGAAGATCAAAAAACAACTTGTCATTGAAATCTGTCTTATAGTCTCTCTTGATAATCTGAATCTCACTTACCAGATATAAGAATTTTGTGATGAATTCATAATAATTATTTTTATTACACATAATCAACTTGTGATAATTATTTTTAACATTTTACAGCTTGTTAGTATTTTTATATATTAACTTGAGATACTCAAATATCTATTCTACAGTTTGATATCACTCAGATTGATTCTCTTTCATACAGAGTATAATGTGATGTGTTGTGTCCTCATCAGTCTAATTTTCAATATGTGCAATTCTCATGTGTTTAGTAGAATAATGATCAGTGTTCTCTCAGAACTTGTTCTTTATTTGAAAGAATCAGTGTTCAAATTTTGACTTTTTGTTGTCAGTGAGGTGTTTCAGATCATCAATCTTGACAGATCTTCTGGCAGTCTTAGAGAAAATAACATCTCAACTTGCTGTTTGATTGCTGACTATCATGTGAATCAGAGTATGACTAAGTTCATTACATTCAATAATTAGCTCATCAATCTGACTTTGCTTGACAGCAGTCTGATTAGTAACATTATTTTATTTCATTCTCAGATGTGTGATTGTATCTCTTAATGATTTTTTATTGTTAAAAATATCATCAAAGATTACTGCTAATTCATTATAAATATAATTACTGTCTGAGTGAATTGCCTCTTTGAATTTCTCAATTGAGATATGTAATTGATCAGTCAGTATTATTAGAATGTATCACCAGTCCTTTTGACCTCTTTTAAAAGATTGGAAGCCTGCAGTGGTCATCTGATATCAGATTGAGCTGTTGTCTTCAACAGTTGATCTGACATGTTATCAAGCTCTCAACTAGCAGATTTTAATTCAACTGAAGCATTTAAGTTTTTCATTGAAACCTGAGTGAAAAAAGTAGAAGAGGAAACCTTAGAATTATGTTAGGGAGTGAATGTGAGCTGCATAAGAAGGAAACTCTCTGCATTGCTAACTGCTATGTAACAAAATTCTAAGGTTGATGAGGAAAAGAAGTGTCAGAGTCTGCTCAGATTATAAACTGTAGCGGCGCCCGCCTGGGTGGCGTTGCCCTAACGACCGCCCCGCCCACACGTGATCGCTTGTATGTAATATAGCAATAACCTAGCTAGCTCCTCCGAATAGAAGGTTCATGTGGGATGGTTTTTTATCTCTCATATTGGGAGGCCTAGCTAGCTATCTAATATACGCTATATCACGTGCGGCGGGGCGGCCGCCCGGGCAACACACGCCCAACAGTTCAACCATCCCACAGTTACGTGTGGGGCGTGGTCACGTGATGGAGATAAACCTAGCCCCGGCGCTGAGCCTAACAAATCTCATATTTATATAATATGGATATTTATCTTGAATAAGAAGATATTTTTCTTAGCCAGCTTTTTACTTTATATAAGAATTAAATATCTGTTTTAGTCAGATAAGCTCATACTCATTATTGTTTCAGCTGTTGCTACTGATTATAAAATAAGCTATATCATTTTTATCAAAATTCTTAAATCAAATATTCATCATATTGTGAGATTTACTTTTATATATAAGAGATAAGGGCAGTACTATTTTATTAGTGCAAATCATAACTAGTAGAGAAATAAATTCACAGCTACTATCTTGAATTACTGTAATTTGCTTTATTTTAAGCAAATAAATTGATATAATATACTTGATAGCTTGATTAATTTTAATTAGAAAGTCTTTTTCATTAAAATTATAAATTTCTTCAAATTCAATGTTATATTTTTTGATCTTCTCAGTTAATTATATATTTAAATAGTCAGTTTGTTAGCAAAGATCTATAATGAGTACAATATAATAAAATAGTTAAAATATCAGTTTAAAATAGTGTTGAAAGTAGGAAAAAATATCTGCAACCTTGCATTAATAGTCTATATTACAGATATGTAGAGATTTGATATATTTTGAATATTGATTTGTAAAGTGACTCATTTAGTTGATTTCAACTGACTCATCTGTGATTTCTATAATGAAATTTTGAATGATTTGAAATGTAGAAGCAAAGCTGTAAGCTGCCAGCTTCTTTATATAAAAAAGTAGCTGCTCTTTCTATGAATTTGAGATCTTCTTCTTATGATATAAGACAGTTTTATTTTGTGATAGTTAGATTTCAATAAAGTGTTAGCACAATGTTGTCATGTTGATTATATATTTCCTAGCAGCTGCAGTGTAATTTTTAATTTTTTGTGACTTCAAATCTGCAATTGCAAGCTGAATTGAATCCTCATTGGCCATGGTGGAGTGTTGCAAATGGGGGGTTGAAGCTCATTTTGATGAAAATCACAGGTCATTTAGTGGTGGATTACGTTTCAACATATGATTCCTCCAAGGATGGACTGGAAAAAAACATACGACAGCCGGGATTCGCTGGTGATCACCCACCCAACTACTAACCGGCCGGCGAGTGGCTTAAGTACGGCTGAGCGGACGGGAAGCCCTGTTTTCCACTCCCTATGGTCGTATGTACTAGATACCGTTGATGAATGGTATTTAAACAAGATGGAGCACAGCAAATTTCTACCAAACCTTCAAAGGAAGTAAGGAATCAGCCTACAAAAATCTCCGGAGAGACATCACAACTTAGGCAAGGATATATAGAAACATGAAATACATTGCACTTGTGAAAATTGAGTAGATTAAATGGCGGTGTGTATTATCTAGTTATACATATCCGAACAAAAAAGAAAAGAAGAAGTGAAAAAGCTACAAGTCAACGAAGAAGCCCGGATATCCTCTAATATATACAGTCAGATCCCTTCCAACCGCATACCAAAAACCGCCCATCCATCCACCGCCACCCTCACCCCTTCAACTCCACATTTTACCTCTCGACCATCTTATCCCCACCTCTCCCCTCGACCCAATTCTCCAACCACCTCCTCTCAACTCTCTCCGCCTCTTCCCCCACCAACCCAACCGAAACATCCACCCCCCCCCTCTCCTCCACTGCAATCTTAACCTCATCAGGACTCATCCCCTCAACCCCACCATTCTGTGTAATCAACCAATCGTCGACCTCAAGATAGCTCATCCATCTCCTCAGCCTAGGGCGGTATATCTGGTTCACAATCTCCGCCTTCAAAAACCCCGGCAGGAACGAAACAGCAGGCAACTCATGCCCGCGACTAAGCCTGAAGACCGCACAGGCCCTCAACACCCCAGTCGTCGACGCACGGTTAATCAGCTCATTTATATCAACCGTATGCGGAATCGAGGTCGCATTAAGCAATACATCCAGATTAGCCAGGGCGTTTGCCTTCTTGCTACTGCCATAACCAACACTATCAACCTCTGCCGCCATCACAGCCGCCTCCTTCCCCTGACACGCCCTCACCCTCTCCTTCTCCACCTGCCTAGGCACCCGACAGGTGAACGGCGTCACCATATTCCCCAACGCCAACACGACAAACGGCGTCATCTCCCCGCACAGCAGCAGGATAACCGAGAACGGAAGGATGCGCCGCACATCATATGCCGCGCGACGAATGAGCTGAAACTCGCTGCGGGAGACTTTGCCCGCGTACTGTTTTAGAATGGGGGCGTTGTTGACGTGTTTCACTGCGTAGGCGGGGGGCGGCGGGGAGGTGGGGAGGAGGGGGTTCAGGCCCAGACGCCGTCGCAGGGGTAGCGAGGCGCGGTAGTTGTGGTAGACGTTTTTGAGGCCCGTTTTGTAGAAGGTGAGGTATGCTTTGCCGAGGGTGTAGTAGTATATTAGTTTGGCTGTTGTAGGGTCCTTGGATGGGAGGGAGATGGGAGCTGGTAGGGTTGTTGTTGGGGGATTAAGGGGGGACGTTATGACTACGGGATATGTGATGGTTGAGGCTGCGGAGGCGGACGTGGTTGTTGGCGGGGGTCTGAGGGGGTTGGGCGTGCTGGAGAAGTGGGCTATAGGCATGCCATTGCTGTGAAGAAGGGCGGGAAAGAGGAGGCGGTTGTTTTGTATTTTTGGGTGTGGTGGGGTGGTTATTGGCGGAGGAGTTCGCAGGTGGAGAGATCCCGCTGGGCGCATGGAGGGAGTGGCTCGGAGGCCGCGGATTGAGGTGGCTAGCATATTGCATGGGAGATAGGAGGGATAAGCGATGGAAGATTGATGATTGCAGTAAAAGAGAAGCTAGCGGTGCATTTACTGGCTGCGTCTTTTCGATCGGATTACATGTTTGCCTGAAGTCTCCCCGGGTTCCAACGTTGTTGTTGTTGTTGGAAGAAATAAAACTTTTCCACAAGATCCGCTTAGTCAGCTGCGGATAGCTGACGCCAAGCCTCGGCACCAAGACAGGATCTTCCGTCGGCATTTGAAGCGCCTTGTGTACATCCATCATACGGCACGACGAATAGAACTAGAATGGACAAGCGATTAGTTTTCAAATTGCATTACCATTTACAGAAATAGTATATCTCATGTTCAGCAGAGAGCAGAAAGTTGAATGAGAAACCAGTACCTCAGTCAGGAGCTTGAAGTAAAGAAAAGCTGAAGGAAAAACTCTTGAAAACAAAATTTCATTGCTACTTAGTTAACTTAGGTTAGGTTAACCAACAGAAACAAAAACAGAAGGATAAGTGATTGAGTAGGAGATGATAGCCACAAGGGGAAAAATGGAAAAATGGAAAAATTAAAAAGGCAAACATGGAAAAAAAAAAAAAAAAAAAGTTACAAAAATTTCGTGGTTCGCCTTGCATCGTCCACCATACCACCATACCACCATAAGCACTGTCCCACAGGCCCAAATTTTCAGGTCCGCCATTGATTGGACCAGCAGAGTGGAGATAGTAGTACGAGTCCACATGATGGGGGATGCCAGCACTTTTCAGCCCCCAGAGCGTCAGACAATGGAGAGAAATCCTCAAAATATTTTCCCTGCTGGTCAAGGCCATCGGCAAAAGAATCATCACCTCAATCTGCCCAAATACATAATTTCATCCATCTTCCCCAACCATCATTCTTGTCGGCTTGAGGCACATTACCCGTTATCAAATATCCGAAAAGCAAATGAAATGGAAAAAAGGCAACACATAGATATAAAAAAAAAAAAGAAAAGAAAAAAAATGAAGACATCATTAAAAACCTCAGCTGGCTTACATTTGCTTTTTCATATCGCAAAACAGCTTCAAGGGAATGGGGGAAACATACCAAAAACCGAGAGCAGGAAAAAAAATATAAAAAATTAAAATTAAAAAAAAAAAAAAAAAAATGGATGGATAGTAGCCATCAACACGAAAAGTAGGTTCAACTACTTTCATTTCATCCCACTCATCTGAGCTGGTTGGGAAGGAAATTCCTGATCGCTGGCATCAAGTACATCGTATTCCTCATCGGTCAGGAAATCGTCATCGGGTGAGGACTCGTCAAGAGTAAGGTTCTCAACATCATCTGCAATATCTGTAATGTCTTGGGCTTCAGAAGGCCCATTGGAGGGTGGCTCCAAGGTCGTTGAGGCAGATTTATACGTGCTGCTCATGGCTGGTGACTCTGTTTCGAGCTTGGGGAAGATCATCGCACTCCCCAGCTTGGATTTGTCCACAGGAGGCTCGGCATAAGTAGCTTGGGTGGTGTGTGATGCCACGCTTGGTGCTTCGGTTTCGACAGAAGGCTGTTTGCTATCACTACTTTCCTGTGTGGGAGAATCTTCGGTGGAAGCTCGCACGTCGATGTCACACCAGAGCTTGTGGCCAAAGGCTATCCCGTCAGCTGTCTTGAGACGCCAGTATGAAATCGCTCTACCCTCACGCTGGGGACTCTTCAGGGTGATAGTGAAGTCAGCACTGCCTGCCGGAGGAACAGGGGCTGTGAGCTCCTGGGTTTCCATGGCGGAGAGCAACTTGCTAAGACTGGACGGATGGTTCGTGTCAATGTTGAACATGCTGTCACCACCGACGAAGCGGACACTGCATCCCTTCGGCCAAATGGCGGGTCCTGGGTTGTAAAGGGTCCAAGTTTGAGTAATGGTCTCGCTGGGGCGAACTGTCGAGCCATCAGGAATGGTGTCCCGAATGTAAACGGCGTGAAGGCTGGAAAACGGAATGCTTGACTCAGTCCCAATTGTTCTAGTTTTTTCCAGCTCACTTGGTTGCACAGCAGTGGAATCCGCCTCACTAACGGTCTTAGGTTCAGATTTCTCGGTTTGAACCAGTGTAGCAGCGTTTGAATTAACGGGTCCAACAGTCTCCATTGAGGTCGACTTAGTGACTGGGCGATCGCCAAGAGTAGTCACAGCTTCTCCACGACATGTGTTGTCAGTGAAGGTAGTGATCGTTGCGTTGCGAACAGGAGTTTTGAACTTGATCAGCGGATGCGTGCGGTTATGGGTGTTGTCAGGATGGGCTTCACAGGAAGCGCAGAAATCAATATCATGGCACACAGCACACTTGTAGCGAACTCCTCTGATATAGGAGAGCTTCGCCGGCACAGAGCAAAGCGGGCCATCACAAATAATTCCATAATGAGTCTGCTGGTAACCGTGTGGCTCCGGTATTGGGCTATAAAGTGGAGCAAAGCGGTGGCCAGGATGGAACTCCGAGGCGCTCTGGACACAGTACGAGCAATAGTCCCAATCTGGACAATTGAGACATTTATGACGGACGCCCTTGATTGACTGCATGGCATTAGCAATTGTCAATCGTTATTGAGAGAGGCGGGTTTAAGGGGTTTAAAAAGCTAACCTTGTTGCATCCGTCACAGATTGCAGCGTGATAACGACCACGACCAGGCTGACAAGTCGACATAACAAGGCTCTTGGACTGGAACTCGCCGTCCACGATTAGCGAGAAAGAATGTCCAGGATGGTGGCCGTGCCTATCCTCAAGTAGACAGGTGAAGCACAGGTCATAGTCTGGACAATCCTGGCAGGTAACAAGTTCCTTCTCATTGAAGTCTATGGTGACGTATAATCGTTAGTAAAGTTTGTGAACGAACTTTGATGTTCGAACAGTGCCTCTTAACGTACCTCTGAAGCAGGCATTGCAAGTACGCTCTATGAACTTTGTCTCTTCCTCGTCCCTTGGAATCTGTTCCTCAGAGGTGGGTTTCTCTTGAAGTTCTTGATCAGAGCTCTTCCTAGAGGGAATAGTTTCAGTGATGCTATTTGTGATTCTTCCACCATTGATGGTACGTTTGATAAGCCAGTGGCCTTCACCAGGGCATGAAACACCGGCATTTATACACTGCTGACATAGGTCATAATCTCCATCATCACAGATACTGCAATGAAGGTAAACATCAGTGACAGAGTTGTTGCAGTGGTTGCAGTCGATGTACATTGTTGAGAGTTGAACTGATGGGATGTGCGGGAGATTTAGACTGGCACTCGACATGAATCCCGCGGATGACGCAGGATTAGATCGAACATGCTGCATCTCCTGCTGGTGTTCAGCCCGAGTAGGTAAAATTTCTTCGTTTGTGTTGTTATTGGTTCCTTCGATGGGGTTACGCTCCGGAACACTGGGAAACATAGAAGCATTCAGTGTTGGGGGAGCAGGCGCCACAGGTTGAGGGAAATCCGCCTGGTTGGTGAAGTCGCTCACGGGAGCACGAAGGACGGTGTCGAGGTAGCTACATCGCTGCTGGGACTGTTCTTGCCGGCTATCTGTGTTCTCCGGGACAGGCGAGGATGGCCACAGGTTATCATGTCCGGGGAGCAGAGTAACCTTGATTCGAAGTTTCAACTTCGCCTTGGCAGCACGATACAGCTGTTTGTAGACCGAGGGATTCTCGCTATTGAGGACGATGTATGAAGCAGCGCTATCCGAATAGCGTTCGAGGGAGACATCGGCATTATCGGGGATGGTGAGGAGTTGGCGAACCTGGGGGGAATTTCCACATCAATCAGTGTGAGCCAAAAAAAAAGTGGTTCAACAGACTGCCAATACAGAGCGAGCTTTCTCAAGAAGCTCGAAATCCCCATGCATACAATAACAGCAGCCCCTCTTGGTGTAATGTAAAACAAAGGAACAAAACAAATTAGAATTAGATTTTACCTTTAGCGGAAAGGTGAAGGCACCAAGCTCTCTCAGGGGCAACTTGAAGCGTCTGGTGCATCCCTCGTAGAGGATCTTGATGGAGATAAGGGTATCTGGTCCTACAGGAGCGGCCTGGGGAGCTAATGCCGGAGCAGCCATGATGATTGCATATGTATATTGATGGAATTTTGGGGGGGGAAAAGCTGAAGTTGTCTTCGAGTTGGTATTGGGGATGGAGAATAAGCTGGGAAAGGCTAGCTTATATAGAACTCGAAGGCCACGGTAGGAAGGCTTACCAAACAAACTTGGGATGTTCACCAAATGAAGAGAAACAACGAGAACTGGGAACGACAAGATAGATGAGTGGAGCAAAAGGGTGGAAAGTGAAGGGTGATGCTGATGTGACAGGAGGGGAGTGATGAGGTTGAATGAGGTTGAGGTTGAAGGTCGGTCTGGGGTGAATAATAATGAGGAGAAGTTGCCTAGTTATTACATATACATATTACCCGCTAGTACCTAATTAGCACCCAGCTTTGTCTGGCGGCTCTTGGCGGGGCGAAAGCGGACTCGGCCGGACCTTGGTGTCCGGTATTGGTAATACTCGCAGCGCACTCTCATATTATTCAGTGCTGTTCACATTCGCCGCCCCCAAAACGTCAACCGGGGCCCTAGTCTTTTTACGGTATGGTACGCGGACATGTGTATATATGGAGCCTTCGAAACGCAGGCGGCAAGGAGATGACCTCGAATGATATCATCCTTAGGCAATGCCAGCCAAGCACCAAGTTAACTAGTTTAGTTAGCCCAGGCCGTGTTCCGTGGTGGAGTTCCATAACCTTCGGGGTGATACATCATGGCCTCTTTCTCTCACCGCCCGGGAATCAACCCGATCTGCCTCACATGATGATACGCCATATGTTAGTTACCTGTCATGGGTGCAGCCTCGGTACGCTTGGCAATTTAGTTATACATAGTTACATGAAACAAGCAGGCAGATATGAATCACATAAGATGCATAATGGGTTAACATAATTCTTAAACTGGAGTGAATCACACAACCAAGCAGATTATCAAATTTATTGAATATGAGTGTTTTAATTTTAAAACTGTAATTTATAAATAATAGTAATAAAAAAACATTTTATTAAAAATTAATATTTTTTTTAATGTTTAAATATTTTATATTAATTTTAATAAATATTATTATTAATTATTATATTTTTATTTTCTTAATAAATTTAAATTTTAATATAAATTATATATTTATAAAATTTTCAGTAATTTTAATTTATTACTTTATATAATTTTTATATTTAAATTAAATAAAATATTAAAAATATAAAAATTAGCGAGGCGCCCAGCCCTCAGAGCGCTGTTGTCATTGGTCCGCATCATGCGCTAGGCCCGTTGCCGCTTCGGGGGATTGCGGCCCTTCGCCGTTTTTTGCGCCTTCTCACACTGCTTCAACAGACGCCGCTCGATCTATAAAAACCCATCTCACGCCCTCGCAACGATCACACATACTCTCTCCTCCTCTTTGTTTGACTTTCTCTTTTCATCACCCTGCCTCTCGCGCTCGCGTACACTGCCCCCTTCTTCTTTTTCCCCTTGCAGGAATGGTGCTGTCTTTATCCAGCCTTATCTGACTTAATCCTGCGCCCACCGAGTCATTTTGTCACGAGCATCGTATCGCTCGTATGCCTCAGATCACTGCTACGGCCGTATGCCTCGCTTATGACTAAGCTCGCGTACGCCCGAACACACGTATATATATTTCATTCTCTTCTCGCTGTTTTCCTCTTGATCTTCTTCAGTTGATAGTCATTATTATAGTGATCATATAGATTATCTAGTCATTACGAATACTACTATCTTATGCCTGCTACGTTCTGACTATTCGTCATACATTTGAACCGCCATCTGATACAACTTCATTGGCTTCTGAGCCCTTCACGTTGCCCCTCGCGATGCTACTTCCCTTAACTCTGGGGCTGAGGCTGCTGGGCTGTCGGCACTCATGTTTTTCTGTACATGTGCCTTTCACTGTGCCGCATGATCAGCGATTCCAAACAGCAGAAATTTTTACTTGCCGATTGATTAATTCTTCTGTTTTCATTTTCATTTTCATCATTTTTTTTTAACTCTTTGAAAGGTCTGCTCTTCAAGACTCTGTCTTGAAGCCTCTTTCATTGGTAGGATTGCATGCAGAGACAGAGAAGGCGGCAGCTGATCAAGCGTATTGAGATGGCCAGTGGGCTAGTGTCCAGGGGCCAGAGTGCTTGCTGGGTCTGAGTGATGTGGGTTGCATCACTCTTTGAGTCATCAAGACTGACTGTCATTGTCACATTTCTTTCCGCGGTCCAATAGCAAAAGGCTGCATTTCATTTGTGCTGGTGTGTGCCTGCAGGTCAGACCAAGGCAGGCAGCGTTCTTTGGAGACATACCACAACTCAAGACGGTTTCACAAACGGTGTTGGAAAGGTGTAAGAGGGCAGACAACCCACTTTACGATGAAGAGGAAAGCTGGCAGGGCTGGCCTGGACTTGCAGCGGAAAATGATGTTCTGAAGTGGCTTGCCAACCTCATTGCTAAGCTTGTTCAATTAGCTTAAGCACAAGAGCCATCCTGGAAGATTGACTGCAGACCTCTTGCACAGCCAAGCCAGCCACTGCAGGGGTCTGTCACAGAGAGAAAGCTTGATATCAGCTTTGTTGATGATCTGACGGCCCCTGAGGACTCCAGATGCTGCTGGACACAGATCCTGGTGCCAGGGGAGCTGAGGAACAACCCAGAATATGATAGGAAATCCAGTGCATGGTTTGACCTTGGCAGATACACCAGGGAGGTTCTTGCCATGCAGAACACTCATCATTTTGTGCTCAGGTTCACACTCTGCAGGCCATTCCTGCGACTGTGGAACTTTGACTGCCTGGGTGGGATTGCATCAGAAGTTCAACATCAATCAGAATGGCCTTCAATTTGCGTCTGTTGTTCTCAGATTCCTCTTGATGAGTTGGGAGCAACTTGGTTTTGATCCCATCATCATCACATCTGGGACTGAATGGTATATTGAGATCACATCTGGGACTGAATGGTATATTGAGATAAAGAAGGACAGTGTGAAGGAACGGCTGATCATTGACAGGATTGTCAGATGAGCACACTGTGTCACTGGGCAAGCCACAAGCTGCTGGAAGGCGCACTGTGAGACAGAAAAGTCATAGATACTGGTAGTCAAGGACTCCTGGCAGGACCCAGAGCGCACTGAGAAAGGGGAGTTGTTGTGAGAAGCAATGGTGATGAGGGTGAAGAATGTCATGAGGTATTATCATCACAAGACTGTTCACCTCAATGGCAAGGATGACAATGTTTTGGCCATCCAAAAGAGTCTCAGTATTCCAGCTTTGAAAGATGAGAAGGGTGGCTTTAGGGCGATGATGCAGCATAGTAGCTCTCAAAGGAGAAAAAAGAGCTAAGGCAACACTGTCAACCAGAAGCAATTCACTGATTACATGGACACAGTGCTTCCTCCTCCCCCAAGCAAATGTACCCAGTTAAGTTCTCCATCCAAACCTGCTGGTGGCTCAACTCAATGAAATTGAGTGCACCGCTGCATTGCTATCCAGGACTACAGGAAACCAATATACCAGAGTAGCTCAAAGGCTGTTTTGCTCACTGGGCTGGCCGGCTGTATTGAAGGATACATGTCACTCCATGATGAGACTGGCCTCATCCAGTGCGACATTTCCCCTGGAACCTGATGGTGAATGAGGACAAGGACAATCCTTCATGGTCTGCCTTTCTGATTGACCTTGATCTAGCAATCAAGACACAACAGGATGATTCCTCTGGCGCGCAGGGCAAGACTGGCCCAAGAATGTTCATGGCCATTGGTGTCTTGTATGGTGAAAAGCATTGTTTCATGCATGATCTGGAATCATTCTTCTGGGTCCTGTTCTGGATATGCATTCACTATGAAAGCCCAGGGAAGGGAAGCACTGTCGAGCGTTTTGAGAAATGAAATTATATAAATACTGAAGAGCTGGCAGCTGTAAAGCAAGGAGTGATAAGTGATGAGAGTGACTTTCTTAGAGTGGCTGAGACTATTTCACACTGAGCTATCAGTCCTTGATCTCTTGTGTCAACCGGTTTCGACGGCTTGTCTTTCCAGGCGGCAGACGGTGGAGGAAAGAAAGTTCCAATCTATCCCGGAACATGATTGAAACGCTTCAACATGCGGGAAACAACCCAGACATTGTAAACTAATGCAGTTTCAGTGTATATATGTTGATAGCGTATTGTAGCGGGACTTGCTTTTTGTTTGTGTTTTGATAGAGCATGCATTTGAGCAAGAGTGAGGATGGCCATGATCTGTGAGAACCGCAACTCCTTTAATATGTATATATATATATATATATATATATATATATATAGATAGATATACTGTACAAAGCTAGTTCTCTAGGCTCCGTTGATATTCTAACGCCAGTTTCTCCCGAGCGCGACCCCGCACAACAGTTCCATGGGCCTCCTCTGCATGGCTTAGAAGAGCAGTTCCACTCACAAACATTGCACTCAACCCCAGTGGCCCGCCATGGAGGGTTGATATGTCTTCGTAGAAAATGCCTTGTAGGTGATCCGGGTGTTGTGTATTTCATAATGCGGTCCCCTTTAGCGAGCAACTAGGATTCCCAACGCAGAGAAAGCAACCGTCGAGGCTGAAAGCAGGCCTGAGGCTGTTCAGCTGTCGATTTGGCCTGCACAGACTCACTCCATTGCTTGCTTGGTTGCAAGAGGCGGATAGATGATCGAGGTCATCACATCGTTATATGGAGTAATAGTTATTTTCAATGGATTGAAACAATTACTTTCACTTTAATAAGAAACCAAATAGTTTTTTTTTTTAAAAAAAAGACAAAACTAAGGCTTTATATTAAGCTTTCATCATAGAGAAAAAGGACTATAGAGGAAGACCTGTTAAACCTTGTGAGTAATAGTAATTTAGATACGTCTCAAATAGAAAAAGCCGAGACCTGCTAAGCTTTAACATGACATTCTTAGATAAGAGACCAGTAAAAGCTGCTCACTGGAATGCTGAACTAGCTGCTGGAAAACAGTGAGAGCAAGTAAAAGCTGAAGCTGCTATCCACAGACTAGGTGCTCAGCAAGTTTGTTGAACAAAGAAGACTCGGCAGCTTGCTGAGCAAGCAGGTCACCAAGAAGCTCAAGCAGTACATCAGCTGGGCCAGATCAACTAGGTGAGCAGTCAAATCCCTATACGAATAAAGAGGGCAACAACCATCTTCTCCTACGACGAATTTATGTAGAGTCGACCCCTTACCGTTCGTTTTACTGGGGATTAATGCTGCACGCCTGATACAGCCATGACTGCAAGATAGACTGGGAATCTTTTACGTACGGGAGAGAGAGGGTAGCACAGGACACCTCAGGATAGTCGATCTTGTGCGCCATATATGAGACTGCTTATAACTACCAAGGTAACCATATCGTGCTGTGCATATAGTTCATATAATGAATATACACTACCTAAGATGAAGACATGGAGCAGATAGCTCCTCGTCTGTGAAGAATGAAGCAGTGTCATGATACCGGAGGACATCCATAAATCAAGGAGCAGCAGAATGCAGCTTTTGAATCGGTTCCCAAGAGCGTATACTTTTTGCATATGCACTCCGTCCAGATAGCATGATCTTCATCCTTATGAGTTGCTTGAAATATCAAGTATATCTTTCTTGACCTCCGACGCTACTGTGCAAAACTGCACGGATAAAAATTCAAGTATTTTCGCAGTTTATTCCGATCACAACGACAAATTCAACCGTGGGGTTATTTATCAATGGCGTAGAAAGGCCCCCAGTTAAAGCAATGGCAATGCAGTGCGTCCAGCCGAGACCACGGATATTATTTCAGGGACATCATCCACGGATTTTATAGCAGCTTTTCTTCCCTGAGCCGATGTGAGAAATCAAACCCGGGCATCAAATAAACCTCTTAACGCCCCCTCTCACTCTTCCAACCCGAAACCGAAACCTCTTCAGAGGAAGAGTCAAAAGACCTCATGAGCCCGCTGTAGAAATCGAACATTAACCATTGACGCTAGCACTTTTCGGCATCCCGACCCCGACCGCAGCAGTCGTCCCTGCATCGACGGGAAGCACAACACCCGTTATCCATCTAGCGTGAGGCCCAGCAAGAAAAACCACCGCACCAGCAGCATCCCAGCCGTTCCCTTCAACCCCGAGCAGACTCCTTTTCCGTCTAGCCTCCCGCGCCTCCTCGGATATTCCCCCACCATACATCATGGGGGTGTACATCATCTAAAAAAGAAAAGGTATTAAGAAAGGAACATCAAGTCAGCTAACAAGTTCCCATATCAAATTTCCTCGACATCCGTAAGGGCGTGTAAGGGAGGGAGGGATGGTTGCCAACATACCCCAGGACAGACACAATTAACCCTAATCCCCTCCGCAGCATGATGCGCCGCCATCGCCCTCGTCATATTAACCACAGCACCCTTAGCAGTCGGATACAGCAGATGCGGCGTGCCCCCCTTCAACCCCGCTACACTGCCCATATTCACGATGCTACCCCTCCCCCCATTCCTCCTCATGGCAGGAATAGCATACTTACTCATCAGCACCATGCTCGATACATTGACCTCCAACCCTCTCGCCCACTCCAGCATATCAACCTCAACGGCCGTCCCCGCCGCCCCGCCAATGCCAACATTATTCACCAAAATGTCCAGCCGCCCGAACGTGTCGACTGCAAGCTTCACTGCAGCCTCGCAGTCAGCGGCGGACGTTACGTCGCCTTGGAATGCGATTGCATGGCCCCGATTGGGCTTTGAGGCGATCATTTGCACCGTTTTACATGCCCAGTCTAGATTGCGGTCGAGGCATAGGACCTTGCAGCCGTCGGAGGCGAGGAGGATGGATATGGCGCGTCCGTTGCCAATGCCGTCTCCTAGGCATCCAGCGCCGGTGACGATGGCCGCCTGGCCGGCTAGAGAGCGCGAGGGGGGTTCTGAGCGTATTGTTTTGTCGCTCATGGTTGGGGGGTGATGGGTTTTGGGTAAATGGGAGAGGTACCGGGGCGTAAAGGAAGGGGATGGGATGACATCAGCAGATTCCAGGTCCCTAGGTAAGCGCTGCTGGATTCTTTACTTGGGAATAATCACAAGAAAGGTATACTATCCTCATATTTTGGTAGACATTGGAGCTTGTTGGAATCGGCAGACAGAAATCATAGCTGTAGATCGCTCGGCATTAAGATTCTGGCGGGGCATTTCGGTAACTAACTCTTCGGCAGAGTCATAGCCGACGTCGGAGCATGAAACAGCGCTGCAGTGGTCTCCACGAAACTACGTGTTCAGCAGCGGGGTAATTGTTAAAAACACATTTATTTGCAAGATGATCTTAGGAGAGCTGTCGTTAATCGCGGTAAACTGATAAAAAGTGAGGCGGAAGCGAATTATTACCTTGTCGAACTCACCCCCCCCCCCCAAAAAAAAAAAAAAAAAAGAAAAAAAAAGAAAAGAAAAGAAAAGAAAAAAAAGGCAAACCCATCCGCTATTGCTTTGACTTCGTTTATATTTTGCGTGACGATGGACTTCTCTCAGTACACGGGGCCAAGCAAGGAATGGATTGCACTGGCGGCTACACTCCCAGCGGAACCTGAAGGTCTATCTACAGCTCAATTAAAGCATGCCATAAACAAGGGGCGGGATGAAGTGGCAGCTAAAGCCATGGTTGAGGAAGGTCAGTAAAAACACTGAAGTGGAAAATTGACATGGCGGGCTCATTGTTCCCTATCGAACATTTCAATGTGCTGATAAATCTATAACTTCTTTCCAATACAGGTTTAAAACCTAAAGTAGCCATCCGAAACCACACAATCCTAACTCGCGACGGCTCGTCGATCGAAGCAAGGAGTTTCCGTCCCTCCTCCATCCCAGCCTCTCAGCCATTACCGGTCTACATCCATCTCCACGGGGGAGGCTTTCTCTGGGGCACTCCGGATTCAGAGGATGCGAGCTGCTCTCGCACCATCGTATCCCTTGCAGAATCCGGCCTTCCCCTTGTAGTCGTGAATGTCAATTACCGTCATACCCCCAAACACAAGTACCCCACCGCCTGGAACGACTCAGAAGACGCATTCCACTGGATCCACGAGCACCTCAACGAAATCGGTGGAGAAGCGGACAAGGTCGTCGTGGGCGGGATATCGGCAGGAGCATGGCTAACGGGATCCCTAGTCCTCGCTCAAAACTCCGGCGCAGACAAGCGGCTAGCCAGCAGACCCAAGCTTCGGGGCCAGGTGCTGATGATACCCTGCTTGGTGTATTCGGATTTTCACGAGCTGCAGGTTAAGAAACTTAGGGAACCAAGTGTGTCGAGCTATGTGCAAGGTGCGGATGCGCCCATACTACCGCTCACTAGGATGAATTTTTTCTCTGGTTTATTGGGTGTGGAGGATGCGAAGGTGGGGGATAGACGGTTGAGTCCTGGGCTGGCGACGGCGGAGGAGGTGAAAGGAATGCCTCCCAGCACCTTTGGGATTGCGGGCTATGATCCGCTGAGGGACGAGGGACTTTTCTACGGGAAGTTCTTGGCTGAGAATGGGTAGGTGATAAATTGGATCCCCCTTTCTCTTTTATGCCGGATTTCAGTTGAAGGGACAAATCAGTAGCTAACGCATGATCAGAGTCCCGACGAAAATAAACGTCTTCGGGGGGCTTCCGCATGGATTCAGGAGGTTTAGCCACGATCAACTCCCTGCGGGCAAGAGATGGGACGAGGTCATTTGCGAAGGCATTCAGTTTGCACTGAGTGATCCCGTAGCTACCGGAAAGTTTGAAATCATATCCGATTGAATGGCGAAGCGAATGAGAAAGAGGGGTTGGTTTGGAAATCCCAATATTTCAGACATTCTTAGACGTTGGGGTGGATGCCGACTTGAAAGACGGGTATATGAACAATGCGGATGGTGTGCCGAGCCCAGAGATCAGACATTGCCTAGAAATAGAAACATGCTTCCAATGGATCTATGCTGAACTCATAAAACTTCAACAGTTTCCGCTGTGCCAGTGGAATCAAAGATGATGCCTCTTGAAGGGGCGCTATGCCTGATTGACCTTTGAGAACTCAGCTCTTCGTTTTTGTGGTGGTAATCTTTCAAACCAAAGGGGGGTCCGGTGAGTCACATCCACAACATTCTGCTTAAGCCAGTAAATTCCAGCTTCGCCACAAACCTTTTTCATTGCTATTTAGCCAAATGGAGACACCAATCCAACAAGAAGAGCGGGGGGTTGTTTGGGTGAAGTTCGAATTTTAGTCCGTTGAACGAGGCGGTCCCGGATAAACAGTAAATGCAGCGCCGAGCAGAGTGATAACAAGGTTTGCCAAGCCTTCGCCAGAGTTTAGCGCCGGGCCGACCCGTTCCTAGCTCCACCAAGAGGAGAACTGGGGACGTGCTGTTTACATGGCTAATAAATGTCGATACCTAGTTGTATCCTAACCATCTCAAGTCCCATTCAAGGTCCCGGGCATCCATTCAGCTCAGCATGGGAGAACAGCGGGGGTGGGCTCCTAGAACAATGTCCGCAACTCAGCCATTCCAACCACTGGTATGGTCTGATATGATATGATTTTGTCATGCAAACCGTGCTGAACAACCTCCTGCCGAATAACGCCATTTCTTGTCTGCCTCTCCATGAACCATCCAGAATTCCCCAATTCCCCAATTCACCATTCTGCGCCTGGCTCTCTTGTTCCAAGTCATCGTACGTGATCCTGGACAAAGATGTCTCATTGACAACATGCCATGTTGGAACGTCCATATGTGCGCTGGGGATGTCGGTGTCATCTCCCGCATGTATAAAGGTATATCGCACATACTCAGATATTATGTCCTTACTCATCCACGTGCTGGATAAGAATTTTCTTTTTTCTTTTCTTTCTTTCTTTTTATTTTATTTTATTTTATTTTATTTTATTTTATTTTATTTTATTTTTGAAAGAGAGCAAGAAGCGGCTGTATCCGTGCTATGGTGATAGGACAGGGACAACCCCTCCAACGCGATATGTTACCGTGAGTGAGACAATGTCTGAAAAGGAGGCCTCTAGAACGAGACCTGCAAAGGAGGCTGATGGTGAATGCAGTGTATAGTGGCGTGCAAAGGACATCTGATGGCAATCGCTGTACCCAGCGAATGACCGAATATAACAAGGCTGTCAGGTTGATTTCCAACAATTTTGGTCGCCCACTTGGTCATCGCTATGGCACCAAGAAGAAGCCTTCTTCTGATGGAACACCATTGTTCAGTCCGTATCCACGGTAATCGAAAGTGTCAATGTGGACTTTGTTTGTTGGGGTTCCCAGAGTAAAGAGCACGATAGCTGTCCGGTCGCTAGCCGGAGCCTAATCTCCCAACTGTTCCGCGCATGTAGAGGACAACTCTCGCTTCTGGGCCGTCTCTCAAGAGCCTGAATGATAAACCCTTGACGTTGCATCTTCGGTTACTTCAGATGGCTCTGCCCAATAGATCTTCAAGATGCCTTTTAGTAACCGCCCAGCAGCAAATTACGCCAAGCATGAAGGTGTTCTCTGTCTGCAAGTTTGATGTATAGATGGAATAACTTGGTTATGCAGAAATCCAACCTCTTCTGGCACATTGGGCTCACGAAATCAGGTCAGAATGATGCCATGGAGATAAATGGCATGCATCTGTAGTGTGTAGCTTGGGAATAATGAATACCAAGCCTTGAATATCAAGCCTAGAAGACCAAACAGCAAACGATTGGAATCCCCACAATAAGAATCGTAGCTTGAGGACGGGCTGCAAGGGAGTTACTCTCCGTGATGAATAGGCGGACACTTATGAATGAAAGCGTGAGTAAGAGAAGTTACATTGGACTCATTAAAGGAATATGAAATCAAATAATGAAAGTTTCGAGAGAGGCTATCATGCTATCCTCTGCCGCGCACTGCAGCATTTGGAGGACACATAATAACGAAAGGCGCTTACAGAGTAGCCCAAAGTGGTTGATCGTGAATTTTTACAAGCGACCTTCTCTGAACTGAGATCCATTCCATGATGGTCCACTCCTGGAGCAGAAATTCAGTTACATACAAATCGGTAATAGGAGGAGCTTCTTTGCAATCGGCTGGAAGGAAATATAGGCAAAAGTTTCAACCCTCCTTGACGGGTGAGAACCTTGTTTCATTCGTTCAATTAGGAGCATTAAGGAATATCGACCCACCAAAAAGAATCATAAAGGGCACAAGCCACCAATAGACGACGAAGATGAGCCGAAGCATAATAGAAAGAACCTTGGAAGCAAACCGCGGGTATTAATGGACAACAGGGTGGGAGCGCATAGAAATAAAAGTTCAACGGAAAGAATACATTGATATGGAAAAACGGAAAACAAAAGAATACTGTAGCCTTTATTTAGAGCATGCTAGTATAATAATAATAATAATAATAATAGTAATCACTGTGATATCAAGATAACATATAAAAAAAGAACTGATAAGATTCAGCAAAAGTTGCAAGAAACAAAGAAGAAAAATAATATTCACAGAACCAAAGAATTTTTTTGGCTGCTTTTTCTGCGCTGCTTATACAGAAAAGTAAAAGTCGAAGAAACTTTGGAACCTGAGATAGCGACAAGATAGGGACCGAAAACATTGCAGCGTTTTGAAAAAGGCCATACAAGAATGCACGGTTTTATCAAACGCATCGGATAAATGGAAGACATCAAAAGCCAGCGACGGGGAAGCTGGAACGGGACGGGGATTGAACGTTGAACGTTGAACGAATATAAGGTAAGGTTTTAAAAAGATGCATATAGCAGTTCTTAGCCGCTAGTATGGATGAGGATGGTTGGTGAACAGCATGATTAGTGTTTTTGCGAATAGACTACGGCAACGGCAAAAAGGAGACGGTTAAAGTAAGCAATACGGGGGTGGACGGAAAATAGTGTGCGACCTTTTTTTTATCCTTCTTCTTTTTAAATGGAAGAAGAATTGAATTTATTGAGTTTGGAAATCATTTGATATATTTGGTTTGAGTGAAAGAGGGGTTTGGGGGAGAGCAGGGAAAGTTGTTGCTTGCAAGGAACTAACATTAAATGAGCGATCAGCAGGAGAAGAGTAAGGATGAGGAGGAGAAGGGGAGAGCGAACATGGCATTAAATTGAAGACAGTTTTGAATATGCTTGAAGGCTCATGGACCAGAAGGATTAAGAAAGCACACTGCTGAAGACTTAAACTACCATCAAAATGAAAAGCATATAGAATTCGCATATATAATCGTGAAGAAATAGGAAAAGAAAAGGAAAGGAAAGGAAAGGAAGAAAGATAGAAAAAGAGAAAAGAAAAGAAAAGAAAAGAAAAGAAAAACATGCATTGGGAAAGGGTGAAAAATAGTGATAAAAGGATATAAAAGGTTGACCCGAATGTTAAGTGAGGAGAAACATAAAAAAAAAGAAGAAAAAAAGAGGATAAATAAAAAAAAAAATGAAAAAAAAAAAAAAAAAAAAAAAAAAACCAAACCGCTAAAATGCATGAACGTAATCTAGACAACAAAACTATGAATGGAGTACGGATTTCGCCGTGGAAGAATCAGATGAGGGGAAGAAAATGAAACAGCACTGAAGATATTTGTGTTTAAAAGGGAAAGGGAGGATGATCAAACAGAGAAGCTGAGTAGAGGTTGAGGGGAATTGACAAAAAAAGAAATGTTAAAGAAAATATAAATAAAAAAAAACGTATAAAATTCCCACGAGTCGAGCGGACAAGAAGCGGAGGTGCTGTTACGTATAATAAACTGTCCCATTCTGCGGCTGAGGATAATAATATGTCGTCCCAGGCGGCGTCATCATCCCTCCCATGCCCACTACACCCCCGGGCGGGACCCCCTGTTGGGGCGGCGGTGCAGAGTATACTTGATTCTGCTGTGGCGGGTATGCGGAGTTTGCAAACTGCGATGTGTCGTAGTAATACACCGTACCGTTTTGCTCATGTGCAAAAGTACCGGATGGCGCTTGTTCTTGATCTGGGGCGGGTTGTTGGTGGGTCGGCGGCGGATGATGAGGGAGGGGAGGGCCCACGGAAAAGGGCATCTGCTGTGGCTGGGCGGCATATGTTGCTGGTGGGGGTCCTGGCCGCACGGTTGTGGCATATGTTGGATATTCCGGGTTTGAGGTGGTGTAGAATATAGGCGCGGGTTGATAGCCTGCTTCCGTGTAGTATGTTTGCGGTTGGTAGGGATATGGTTGGAATGGTTGGGCGTGGATGGCACGCTCGGGGATTTGAGATAAGGGCGTTGCGGAGGGCTGGGAGGCGTGGGAAGCACGGCGCCCGTGGGGGGCATACGCGTTGTTATCAGGTATGAACCCACCATTGACGGGGTGGGGAACTTGTTGACGGAATGGCTGTTCCTGCTGTTGCTGGGGCGGGTTATATTGGAAACTGACGGGGGATTCAATGTCGGCTACTGAGACTGTTTTCTGTGGTCGAGGCTGATGCATGGGGATGTTCTGTGGTAGACGGTTTTCACGGAACTCCGGAGGTGGAGGCATTGGGTATTGTGAAGGGAGGGGAGGTGCTGTCATCTGTGGGACCATTGCGGGGGGTTGCGGAGCAAATCCTGATCCAAGTGGAGGTCTGATTGAAGGGGGTAGTCGCACTACCGGCTTCCTACCTTCACCAGGCATTCCGCCAACACGAGATATCGCCGAACCGACAGGGGAAGTGATGGCGTCGGTTCCTCTTCCGAATGACGATCTGCGGCTCATAGCCACGCTAGGCGTATAGACGCTTCCTCCGTAAACACTCGTTCTCCTACCACCACCACCGTAGAAACCTCCCCGCCCTCGTTGACGGAATTGCTGATTTGGCCTCAGTGCTCTCGGAATAAAGATAAATGACCGCTCCGTGGACGGGAAAATGTATCGGGGTGGTTGCCCTGGGACGGATATCCTAACAGGCTTATCGCGACGGAGTGGAGGTCGATGCTGTGGGAGGCGAGTGTGTTGTTTCTTCGGAACAGCGGAGTAGGGGATGGGATCTTTCATTCCAGGAAGAAAAACGATGACGGGAACATTTCCCACGAGTACGCTGCTGGAAAAGGAGCGGTTTGGCGGAGATGATCGAGGAGCTGTGGGGACGGGCCTAGGCGGAGTGTGGAACGCGGTATGGTTAGGCACAGGAGGGGGGATTGGGCGTGTGTCTTGGGTTTGGTATTATTATTATTGTAGTAGTTGTTGTTGTTGTAGGACGGCGGCGGCGGATAGCCATTTGATGGGGAATTCGTACTCCGCTTGTCGTGGAGGAAGAATCTACCACGAGTAGGCACAAAGGCAGGATTCGAATCACGCTCCTTAATGTATTCATCGTGCTCGCGCCGCTTCCGTTCCGCAAATGTTTCCCTCCTGTATCCCCTGTTGTTGGCGGATTTTGGGGTGGCGACCAACTCGATCTTCATGTCATCAAAATGGATTTCTTGGACGCCTTCGGCTCCTTCGGACAACTTCAACCCATCCATCATAGCCTCAGTATCAGAAACCGTAGCGCCAAAGACCGGCTTGGCTGGAGAAATCGATTCGTCCCTGCGTTGACGCTGACCACGTTCACCACGCTGTTCACCCTGTCCACGCTCACCACGATCGTCGCCATTCGTAGTCAGTACCTGTCCATTCGTTGACAACCTTTCCACCGGCCCGGTTGTGTCGTCTTCACTCATATCACTCCCTTCCTCATCGGCGTCATCCTCGTGAGCTGAAATGGTTCCCTCACTCAGAGAATCATCCTCCAAGTCCCCGTCGATGGAGCCCTCTTCGTCGCCATCATCCTCCCTCCTTCTCCGGCTGGCAATGCGGCTTCGACGGTGGGGAGCCATCTGGAGATGCAGTCACGAAGGTACCCAAAAAGGAGTTTTTAATTCCCTACGGAGCAGATGTGTCGAGGATGTTAGCAGTGTTGGAGGGGGGTATATGGAAAGGGCCTGGGTGAGGTCAGGGCAGGGTGTGTTAGGATAGCTAATGGGAGAGGCGTCAAGCTGACAGTCTGCTGATTTCGCTAATGATAAAACAGGCAGAGAGCAGCACAGAACGGAGGACGCAGAACACGGGTATCCTGACCTGGCTGCTGCTAATATTTTCTTCTCATCTTCTCATCATCATCATCTTCTTCTCTTCTTTCTTCTCTTCGTCGTCTTCGTCGTCGTCTTCAAATGTTCATCGCAAAACAACTCCGAGGGGGAGCTAGCCCCAATGCAGCCTAGCGTATAGGTTTACGTAAGGCCACTCAACTTCAAGCAAAGAAAAATAACAAGAAAAAGAAAAAAAGAAAAGAATGATAGTTATGATGAAATGAGGATTGAGGAAAAGTGAAGTCAAGTAAAAAGATTTAATTTATCGCATAAATATAGAGAATGAATGAGTGGTGTGAATGAATTAAATGCTGCCGCAAAAGGGATTAAACAAGCACTCCACACACACACACACACACACACACACACATTCTCTCTTACAGCTTCATATCTGATGAATCTACATAGCTGTATCATCCAGTCATCTGCAGTCAACAGCTGCTGGAGATAAAAATGAACAATTTATATGGATATTTTGTCGTTCTAGGAAGTATTGAGTTATCGCCAGCAATTCACCGCGTATATAGCTAATGACTACCAAACAAACGGGATGTTCCAGGTACTCTCAAGAATACCAAACCCCCCCCACCACAACTCTCGATAGATGGCAGGCAGATGGGACAGCAACTCAAGTAACTAACAGCGGAAAACCTTCTGGTTTCATACAATAAATGGTCCTTCTATGAAAAACAAACCAACTCCCAGAGCAAAGGGGCTCAAGAAATAAATATAAATAGATAAATTATCAAATAACCAAAGAAGAAAAACACCTCAATCAAACGTAATCTTCTTTCCGTGCGACTCAACAATGGCTCCACTAAGCCTCTGGACAACATCCTGCGTATACCGGCATCCACTGCTAGCCGCCCCTTTGCCGTAACTCCCCTGACTCTTCCCAGCCCTTGGTGGAAACGCCTTAGTCTTTCTCTCAGACACCTCCTCAATAGCAGGGACTTCACTGTCCCCACCCTGTCCCCAAGACCCTCCAGAACCCCCAGCAAATTTATCTTTCGCCGTACCCTCTTTGCCATACCGCTTCCTATATCGCGTAGCCTTGTCCTCTGCAAACTCCATCCGCAGCAGGCGGCCCAAAATCCGGTTCACCCATACCTTTTTCATCCGTGGTTTTTTGCTTTTCGTCTTTGCATGGTTGTTTTTGGTTTTCTCGTTGTCGTTTTTATTGTTGGCTCCCCTTTCCTCCTCTCTAGCAGCATCTGAATCTCCCTCTTCCTCCAATTCCTCATCTTCATCTTCATCTTCATCTTCATCCACTTCCTCAGGCACCTTCACAAACCCCCTCACTGCAGCTTCCGCCCCATCAATGCTCTCAAACTCAACCCACGCATAACCCTTACACTTCCCCGAATCTTCAAATGTCGCAACATGTACACTCTCAATGCTGCCACAGGGTTTAAAATGGTCCTCCAAAATCTCCTTCGTCACATCAAACCCGAGATTCCCAACAAATATCCGCTGAGAGAGCTCCTTGCCAGCGGCTGCCATGGACGAATTATTCACCTCCCTTCCTCCTGCTGCAGATTCACCACCCTTCGTCCTCTCAGGGCGTCCCGCATAACTCTTCGCATTTTTAATCAATGCCCGCCGACCATTGATCAACTGCTCACTCATGGCAATAGCCGTCTCCATGGCCTTACTGGTTGAGAAATCCACGTAGGCAAAGCCCTTATTTTGAGCCTTGCCGTTCTGCTTTGCGCCATCCGGCAGGTGTATGCGGGTGATATCCTCATTTGACAGGGTGCCAGAGCCCGTGAGGAATTTTCTGATGTCACTTTTCTTCGCGGTGAAGGGGAGGTTGCCTACCCAGACGCCGTAATCGGAGCGTTTGGAGGGTTTCTCTGTGTTTTCGGTGGGTTGGGATTTGGGTGCCAGAGTTGCAGTTGGATTTGAGTCTGTGACAGGCTCTGTTGATATAGGCAATGAGGGTTCTACGGTTTGCAGAGCTGCTGATTTCTTTTTCGCTTTTCGAAGCGCCTTCTTTGATGGAGGTTCTGGCGCGGACAGATCGATTTCCAGGGCAGGGCCATCATCCAGCTTGCGCTTGCGGGTAGCTGTTGGTGACTGCGAGTGGGATGGCTCCTTGAGGCCGGGCATTATATTTATTATATATGCGGAATTGAACTGTATAGGTACACAACTAAATTATATCCATAGAACAAAATAGTGTAGTCGAACTTAAAAAATTAGAAACTATCCCATACAATAACTGATACTCACCGTTGAGTTGAATTGAAATTGTTCTTTCTCTTTTGTCGCTGGCAACAGGAAAAGTTACGGGGTGCTGCAGTGACCGGTAGTGCACCCCCCCCCCCCCCCCCCCCCGGGCAGCTGCTTTTGAGCAATTTCAGCCGTGTCAATGACACTCAAGGACATTCAAGGAATGCTCAACATCTCATCTTCGAGAATTCCACTCAAGAACTGACCTATCAAGCTCATACCTCTACTTCGCCTATTTTACTATCATTGCCTACACAGTCCTATGCCATGGCGTCTCTTGAGCCCGCGTCGCCGTCCCCAGACCGGAGCTTGCCAGATGCGCCGCCAGTCACCCTCCAGACTACATACAAATCTTTCAAGTCAGTTATTCCATATATTCGGATCATTGCACAGTCTATGCGCTATTGCTAACTCTTCCCTTGTTACAGGAGAAAGTATGCGAAGCAAAAGATTGGTTTCGAACTGGCGATGAAGACAAGCAATGCGCTCTTCAAAGAGGAACTAAGGATTCGTGACCTCTCGAAGCGACTCAAGGAACAGAATGAGTACGAGTCCGAAACTGGGAAACCCCTTGAACCGCTATTATACAGTCTTACTTACCCATTTTTGAATTCGTTTCGTTCAATAGTCAGCTCCTAGAAGCTCTGCTAGAGCTCAACAGCAGTATCCGCGTGCCCCCAGAACTCCGATATAACCTCGATCTCCCCGGCTCCAAACTTCCCAAACTCCACTCTCCAGAACCAGAGCACAATCCCCAAGAACCCTGTGGTGTAGAGACGGTTCGTGAGGCACTGCGGGTTGCTAGAGAGAGGCTCCTGGCGGGGGAACTCAAGCCAGAACAATGCCGTCGCCTCGAAGAGTCACTCATTCAGCGCGAGGAGTTCGCACCCGCGGTGCAGTACGCCTCACTCCTGAAGGTGCCACATACCAGGTCGAGCGTTAATGGAGATCACCCTGCCACGGAACACGATATGGATTCAACCCTTGGATTCCTAAACCCGGAGCATGAAAATGAATACTGCGCCGCACTCGATGCAGCTGCCGCGGGAGAACCGAAGCCGTCAGCGGAAGCGGGGAAAGCATCATCTCTGGCAGCTGCAAGCAAGGACAAGGAGATAGCTATCCGGAACCCGGTGTCCGTGATAAATTGGTTGAGGAAACATCAACCGCAAGTTTTTCTGCACGACGCTGATGGCGTGACTGAGAAGCCCCCTCCCCGTTCTAACAATCCGCGTAGTTCGAAGCGAGCGAGTACCCATGCGCGAAAGGAGGAGGATGTATACGACGAAGATGGGATACTGATTGATGTGCAGGTTGGCGGTGGAGGAGGAGGTGCTGGTGGAGGCGGAGGAGGAAGTCGAGGAAAGAGAAAACGAGACGAAGACGGAGGCTATCGACCTAAAGGCGGCAGTGGTGGCCGCTCGAGGAAGAAAAAGGAAGACGCCCCAAAACGTGCGAAGAGGGCTTCAGCCGCTGGAAACGGGACGTGATTTTAGTCCCTGCCCATTCGTTCATTGTATTCCATGCAGTCCGCACAATTCTTACAGTTCTAATTCGATCTATTCATGCCTTTTCCATTTCCCTTGTGTACGATTATGTTTTCTTTCTTTTCCTCGCCGACAATGCATTGTACTTTTACCCCCGTTTTTCTTTTGCATGGTCTTTTACTGCTCTCTTGCATATCCTATAATGCCCTAGAATAGCCTCTGTTGTTTGTGGAATACTCAAGATCTCTTTGTTGCGTTTTTGATTTTTTAACAAAAGCAACAACTACCGAAGTTCTTGAGAACTCCTCCATGAATAAAATCCCTTTTCTTTTCAAGGGAACCTGCTACATATACCTTAGCTAATGCCTAATTTTCTGTCAGTGTCTAGGATATCCGAGTCCACCAACGATTTATATTTTACCCACCTTCGAAAAGCAGCGCAGCAGTTTTGTGCCGTTAAAATACAAGCACCTTATATAAACACAAAAGCAGTTAACTAAAAGTATGCGGACATCCAAGTTGAGAATGAAGGGTGTTTCAGATACAACAATATTTACAGTTTTCATTATTGGATCTCCTTAAATAGCACCCAAACCGGAACAACATTGTAATGGAGTCATCAGACTCGTCCTCGGATTCTTCCTCGTCGCTCAGCGCCTCGGCGGAGAGGTGAATTGAACTACCTCTTCCCCCCTGAACGCTTCCAATTTGCCCCCTCAATGTCTAGCCAACCCAACTAAACGATTACCAGCAACAACAAGATCAGCAATCCGACTATCACTGCAACCAGAGATACAGCGGAATACTACCCGGTTTCCTCCACCTTTTCCGGAAAAAGTACAGATTCCCCAATGAATGGGGCTACATGCCAGGTCCCTATGCGATCATGTATTACGAGGAGGAAATGACAAGGAATGACCTGCCGCTGGATAGTGAGTGGGAGTATACGGACAGTTTTAGAGGCAGATTAGGGCGTTGATACGATGGAGAAGGTGGCGAATGATAGTGACTGAGTCTCGCGGAATATGAAGGTTGACACGAGGTAGAGGGATCAGAGGCCCGCCGGCAAGGAGAATCAGTGGATTTATGGGTGAGTTGGAGAATGGGAAATTTTAAATTTGCACAGTGCTGGGAGTGGTATCCGTAAGGTGTGAGATAAAGTTTTGTTGGTTTGCTATATCACCCCGATTTATTTCCCACGTTCCCATTCCCATCTCCATCAAGATTTATATATATGGTTGGACTGTTTATGTGGTAAATAACTGATCGTGTTTACCCAGGACCCCATTATATTCGCCATCAAAGACGCAAAGAACAATAAATACTGGAACAATTACTGTTTTGAGGGCAATCTCACGCGCAGAGTCAACGCTGCCGGTTGCCCAAATGTCGTCAAGGTGTGTGACTGGATAGACCTGGATCCACAGCCCAATAAATTGACTGGACGTTCTTGTTATTTTCGCATCCTCTATGAGTTACTATGAGGGGTTTTCTTTGGCTGATCTTTACGGCGACTACGTGAAGTTTAAATATGACTTTTATTACCCCTCCTTGGTAAAAAGAAAAAGAAAGAAGAAAGAAAGCAAAGAAGAGAAAAGAGAAAGTGAGATATCATTAACAAGATAACCGAGACCCCTATTCCCAGATGGATGCGTTTCTATGGCATGTATTCCACAGCATAGCAACAGCATTGCTCTACTGCGTGCATGGCCATGAAGAACCATGTCGGAAAGCGAGCTGGGAGATCATACACAAGGATGTTGAGCCAGGAAACAGTATGTTATGAACACCTCTCACTGTACAGAAAGAGAAGTGCCTCTCATTCTCAATACTCGTTCTCTCATCACTGCCCATGTCCTGACTAACCTGCCAGGCTATCAGTTCTCTTGGGTGCGGTACCGTCGCGCAACAGCGAGGAGCTCTACTCGAATTGCTATCTAGGGGACTCTGGTACATCTAAACAGCCAATCTCTCACAAAATTAAATTGCATTAGTCCTGTTAACATGAGCATAGGTTTGGCCTACACCATCCCCAACGAGGATGTCCGCGCGTACAAGAAAGGCTACCCTGGGGAAGGTACAGAGGGTTTCTTAGCTCCGGTAAGATGGAAGATATTTTAAAAGTAGACATCTACTCTCTCCCCCTCTCCATTCGTGAGGCCATCGATATTGCGCCGAACATCTACACCGCAGACGAAATGACTACCCTCCGCAAACTCCCCTATGGTGAGAAATATCTCCCCTATCCCCTTGACATGATTAAACTCTCCCGCGCAGGTGGACCCAACTGGACGTATAAACGACCCAATATCTACTCCCTGTGGAAGGCGACTGGCGAACAGGCGTGTAAGTGGAAAGAGAAAGTTATGGAGAATAGACGGCTGGCGTTTCAGTACAGGAAAGAGTGCTACGATGGGATGATGCTGCCGGATGAAGAGAGTGGGCTGCAGTTTTAAGAGAGATACGGGGATTCGGAGGCGGTTTTTAGGGGAAACCTACTGGAGGCATGTGAATTGGGGATTGGCTAAGCTCGGGAAGGACATAGTGAGGAGGATGAAGGTGACAAAGAGGGGGGGGAGAGCGGGAGGAGGCCGACGGAAGTGAGACGAAGCCGAGGGGAAATGATTGAAGCATTGGTGGATAGGAACATCGCTGGGTTGTCGACGAGAAGAGGAGGCCTGGGGCTGGATGCTGCGTCTGAAGGGGTGGAACTTAGGGGAAATGTGAGCTGCCGGAGTGGGTAAAGAAATAAAATGAAATGAAAGGGGCTTATTATTTTTTGGATACACTTTTAACTAGTTATTGTATTGGTATCTTGGACTAGAAGGCTTTGTTTGAGCTATTGCATGTTTTTCTTCACGGCATCCATTTGACTTATACTTTAGTCGCAGCCTAACTCCCTAGGTAATGACATCGCATGAACGAAGATAGGAGAGTTGAGGACGGGAGTTCTTACGTCAACCAGGGGAATCCTGTATAATCCGTGATATGACAGCAATAGGATAGCGACTGTCGCGAAGGTTCGTCGGATCACTAACAGTTGGACAAATACTGGTAGATACGAGAGAGACTGGAAGAATACCTTTTGGGGGAAGAAGCATGAGAAACTGCTGGATATTAGTTAAACGGCGGATCAATCCTACTAATTTGTTTGTGTGCAGCGTTGGGACTGATATTATCTTAGAGCCGTGAAAGAGTCGACTGCTGTTCAAATGAGGGCATCTGGAATTAATACCAGTAGCAATATTAAGCAACGTTTTTCATGAAAAGGTTCAAGGCTGTCTGGGTTAGTTTGAGTTGACTCAAACTCCCCCAGAAACAAAAAAGGGGTAATTGAATGTTCTTGGTTGTAGATGTCGATATCACGTGGCACTGTAGTTATTTCTCCGAGACCAAATCTTCAATGAATTTATTTTCTCCGCTCTCAACTGACAAATATAGCATGCAATTGTCGAACTGAGTTGAACGACCATCTAGCAACACCAGGGAGTATTTATGTAGGTGCGCTGCATACTTTGGATGACGTTCTCCTGATAAAAAAGACAAATCTGAAAGCTACGAAGCATAACCCGAGCCAAGGAAACCAATGGTAATCACTATACTCCCTCCCTCGATGCCGGAGGAGCAATTCGACTTTTCAGACGACGAGTCAAGAGACTCAGAAGGCGACGTTGACATGTCCGGGGACCATTCGCGGCCTGCAAAGCGTCTCCGCCTCTCCAAGGGCGCAATAGTCACACCGGGAGAAGTGATAACGGATGATCCCCAATGGATGCGGTATGTTTTGCACGCTTTAACTTATTACTGCATTGGTACTCTACATTTATGTACTTTACCTACAATTCATCCCATTCCCATCACGAACTATACAGTTAACCCTCACTGACAACACGCTGTCCCAATCCAGAGGTCACGGCACTTACACCCGCTCCGCACATAACCCATACTCCACCACCACCACCAACCCCTCCACAACATCCAACACAATCATAGCCACCGTAGCTGGCACAGTCCTAAAAACCAACAAACTCCTCTCCGTCCAACCGCTACGAGCCCGCTACACTCCCGAAATCGGCGACCTAGTCGTCGGGCGCATCGTCGAAGTCCAATCGCGGCGCTGGAAAGTCGATGTCGCGGCTCCCTTGCTTGCCCAACTGCCTCTATCCGCCATAAACCTCCCAGGCGGCATACTGCGCAAACGCACCACTGCCGACGAGCTGCAGATCCGCTCATTTTTCAACGAGGGAGATCTGTTGGTTGCTGAGGTGCAGGCGGTGCATCAGGATGGCGCTGCATCGCTGCATACGCGCTCGCTGAAGTATGGGAAATTGCGAAATGGGGTGTTTTTGACCGTTGCTGGGATGGGCGCGGCCGGCGGGGTGGTTCGGGGCACAGGGGTGGTTAGGTCGCGCAGGCAGGTGTGGACGCTCACTGCGGGGAATGGGGGTGGGGAGATTGATGTGATATTAGGGGTTAATGGGTATATTTGGATTTCGAAACATGTTGGAGACGGGTTCGGGGTTGATTCTGCTAGCAGTTGGGATGTGTCGATTACGCGCATGGATGAGATGGTTAGTAGTGCGATTTACTCGAGTCAGAATGACGAGATTGGGCTGGCGACGCGGAGGGAGATTGCCAGGCTCTGCGGGTGTATTAGGGTGCTTGTGGAGGGTAATGTGAAGGTTGATGAGGACACGGTCATGAAGGCGTATGAGGCGAGTATGGAAATTGAATTGGAGGTTGGGGATGACGGGAGTGTTGGAGAGGGCGGAGAAGGAAGAGAGTATTTAGGTGGTGAGAAGGCGAGGAGAGTTGTAAAGGCTGCATTGAGGCCATAGTAAACTTCGAGCTAGAAGGGATACTTTCAGATTCAATATGCGCAATATACTTACCACACACTCCTATTTTGTCGCTTGACTGTCTAAGCAAGGGATGGACATATATACACCATCCCTACAGAGGGCCCAAAGCATAGACAGGCATCTGAAAATCAAGAGTAACTCAACGCCCCCTTAACTCCTAGGAAAAATAATATTTATTAAGCTTCCTTTAAAAAACGATATCACGCGCTAGAAAACAGCACAAGGTATCCATGAATAACAACCTCATCAAAACAAGAGGGGGAAAAGAGCACGTAGTGAACGGTGATTAAAATCACAAATATCTACATACCAACATCGCTGACCTCCAAGCCCCAGCCATCCCCATCTATCCGGGTAAAAATAGAAATTAATAAACACCCTATAGTTTAAACACTGGCACAACCCCAGTCCACTCGCCCCTCGCCCTCTCTTCCCAATACCCATCCTTCCCCGTCTTCAATTTCCAAACCGTCTCCTCCTCAGCACCGCCACAACCAACCTCCTCCACCTGCACAAACCACCTGGGCCTCCAAATCTCTCCTCGTCTCTCCATATCCTTCCTCCTCTCCCTCTGCTTCCCCTCCAACTGCCCCTTCAGTTCCTCGGCACGGTCCACATCCCCTTCTTCCAGCGCCTGCTGGTCCGGACGCAACCGGCTATCCGTGATAGGTATTTTCCCCTTCTCAATCGCGGTGGTTTCGTTCAGCGTGACAGCAAAGGATGTAAACCCGTAATTTTTCGCAGGCTTATCAACAAGAGGACCGGCAGCCCACATAGTTTTGTTGGTCTCTGCGCCGTGTTCCGTCAGTTGGAGGGAGGTAGTCCAGGTCCCGTGGAGACCGAGGGGTAATTCCCCGCCATGCGTGTCGAAAGCCTTGACGACAACTTCTTCGCTACGGCCCGAGAACATGCCACCGGCTTTGAAGGTGGTTATTGTCTTCTGGCCTGTGGTTTCATTCACCACACACAATTCGCCGACTGGCTCAACATACTTTTCGCCCGCAATGATGTTGCGCAGGAAGCAGGTGGCCGGGGACCAGCTGAAGTGCTCACCGCTAGAATGCAAGGTAAGTCGGGCTGTGCCATCCGTGATGATCTCAGCGGACTTTCCCCAAAACTTTTGCGTAGGTTTGGGTGACTGGGAGAAGCTCCAGTCTTTGGAGTCAGCTTGATACGCCAATTGCACGGGTCGATGGCAGACTTTCTCAGCGATTAAGCGGAAGCCACGGTCTTCGCGGACTAGTTCGAAAGTTTCCCCAAGCATTGGATTGAATGGTTTGCGAATGGCTCGTTCTTTGATTCTTGAGTTGGAGAGCGAAGAGAGAGCGAAAGCTGTGACATAAATTAAACGTTCAAGGCCATCTGTGGCACTAGCGGCAATGTCGAGCAGCTGGGAGTATTCGAATTGTTCGGCTAAGCGCTGAAGTAGTGACAACGGTTCATTGGCGGAAACAGGCATGGATATGGTCGACAGGTCCTTGCCTACGTTTTTGCGGAGGAAGCTTATCAAACTTGGCGGAAGGACTGTGGGAGCTGGTATTTTGGCTCTCCGTGTGACCTTATTCAGGGGCAACGGTGCCAGTGATCTGGGTTTGGCAGGAAACAAAGAAGAGAAACTATCCAAACGGAACCCGTTGTTTGTGAAGGCGTCGGCCTCGTCCACTTCGCTTCCAGAGAGGGACTCATCATCTCCGTCTGCAGTTACAGGAGTTTTGCTCCTTGCATCTTCATCATCGCTGTCTCGCTGAATGGTTAACAATGGCGAGAGATTCCCGTCCCTTGCATCAAAAAATTCCTGGGATGCCTCAGACTCGAAACTCGGTCGGGGTTTAATGTGAGTTGTTTTAGTTCCCATTTTATGTCTTTTATCCTGAATCAGCGTGGAAAACTCGGACACCACAATATTAAGTTCCCGGAGGATAATCATCAAATCATCATGTACGGCTGGCTCCCAAGCAGCTGTCGCATGCCCTAGCGGTTTAGAGGTCAAAGGTGCAATTGCGCTCGAGGGAGGAACATTAAGTCGAGAAGAAACACTACGTTTTGCGGTTTGGCTAGGATATGTGCCACTATTATCCCTAGGCTTCAATTTCCAAAACGAGCGCTTATCCCTGCTTTCGCTGGCATCATCCGCACCGCTTCCCGCTGGCGATGGACCTGGTATAGCAGACGTGGGGGGGCTCTGCGAGCGTTCCAGACGGTTGGTATGGGTGACCAAGTATTTAGGGTCCGTATCCCTAGCCAGACGACGCACCATATCCCTTGCGTTGGATACCTTTTGGACAAGAGTTTCCACTTCAGCCCATTCCCGAACATCACTCACAACACTGCTGGCAGGGGTAAGATGCTGGGTGATGAGTTTTGGCCTGGGTTCTGATAGCCCGCCATCTTGGATTTGAGACGCCTTCTCCAACGCGCATTTCCATGATAGAAAGTCATTCTCGCTAGAGGCGCGGAGATGCCAGATCTCCACTCCAGAGTCAATTGATATTTCTTTGGTCTTTTCGTTGGTCGCAATTACAGCCAGAATCAGGGGGATTGCACCCCGTAGGGCAGATGAATTACGATCATGATAATAAGACAAAGTAGAGGAGCTAAAGTCGAGAGAGAAGAAGCGGCGGGCGAATCCCTGGTGACGCTTCCTTCTTCTCTTCTGTAGAATTCCAGTGTGGACGGTCGCAGGAGAGCTTTTTGAGGAATCTGAGCTGTGTGTTGGTAGTCGACTGTTGGCCCCAGCACGGCCATGTCGCAGTGACTCCGTTGACTCCGATGCAGTCGGGTTTAATGCTGGATGGCTCAATCCCGGTTGCAAATTTCCCCAGGATACCCCAACAACCTGTGAATGATGAACCTGGTGCCCCGAGCGTGGAGGTGCATGAGACGGGTAGGTCAGAAGAACAAAAGTTGCGGTTTTGGAGATCTGCTTTGAAAACGTATTGTCGAATACAAGCGCATAGTTTCCTCCTTCATGCGGGCCCACGTCGTAGGTTCCCTGGGAGATCTTGTCTGCCTCGCATTTCCCGATCCACTGGATAGGCTTCAGACCAATATTTTTTAGTTTCTCCAAGACAAGAGATGAAGAGTTGGCAGCCTTAGTATTCTCCTTGCAGGTATCGGTAAATTCGGCGGAAAGAGATTCGGTAGGCGCAGAGCCATCGTAGCTACTAGCAACATTTCCGGACTGGCCAGGATGCTTGAAGATGCCGAAGTTGAGCGACTTCTTATGTGGTTGGATGCTCCATGAGAGTGTATGTTCAGATTTGACATTGATCCACCGTACAAGATATGACTGTTAAAATAAAGGCAGGTTTTGTTAACTAACTGGTGGCCAGAATTCAAAAACAAAGAGGGGTCTTGGGGAGATGGCTGAGGTGAAGGGTGTGTATACCTACTTTACTGTTAATCTCCAGCTCCTCCATTCCCGCCATGGTGTTGGATGTTAAGATGGGGAATGGTTCGGGGCGCGAGACTCAGTGCTCGCGCCCTTGGAAGTCGTAGAGAGTATTTGTAGATGTTTATGGCTCCCCGACCTTTACACACGGTATTCAGGATGCCGGCGACAAAGAGATATGCACATGGCGGAGACCAGGCGGGCGAGGGAGAATGGATCGATCTCAGCTATGCGCCGTGCCAACCCCGGGGGGGGGGAACTAACAACAGTGAAGTAAGGTGTTATTTCTCGTGTACACGGCCAGGTCAGCGCACAGCCCTACAGCGGCGAGAACACGGCGATGTCGCCAGCTGAAGCGGCGGCGGGCAGTGGATTAAGAGCTTTCAAAGATACGAAAGATACAAAAGATGCAAGCCTCAAGTGTTTATAGGAAGGCTTCACTTGGCGCTCGGGGCGGGATCACGGGAACACACCCTGGCTAGGTTCCGTGGCTCTGATTGGCTGAGCCTTATTATGTCAGCACCTCGTCACCTGGTCTGGCCTGCCCTAATAATCTCTCATTCGGCCCCGTAACTATCCAAGATGCGACTCTGCTGCAGACACGAAGGATCGGAGAAGGATCGGAGTAGGCTCTGGGACGGACCTCTTGGAGACCGGGCAGTGGGGATGTGGTCGAAGGTCGACGTCAAGACCGGTGGGTTAACGGGTCTGGAATCCACTGCGAACCCCTGTGGCGTCAGCGTGATGCTGGCTGGACATGGGCAACATATGGCGGATGTTGATTGATAATGAACTCAATCTTTCGTCAACAATGTCCGCTATGATCTCATGGACCGCCGACTGGAAATTCTCCAGCACCAGCAGCGTCTTTGCAGGACCTCGGACAGCCTTATTGACGTTTTCCCTCTCGAGAACGCCATTGAGTGTCTGTCAACCTGGCGACGTTTGTCAGCCCTTCATTGTTGTCCACGGGTAAATACGCAAGTCGCTAACTGGGCCTCTCTGCCTTGGAGCTGACACATCAAAACAATCATCCGGATAGTTAACTTTATCTGGTTGGTTAGTTGACTAATTAGTCTTCCAACCTAACCTTGGAACTACAGATTTGAGAATCACGATGGTCCTGGCGCATATATCAATATCCGGGACGGAGAGCAAGGCACCCCGAAACCCGGTTTCATTCAGCAATTGTGTCCGCGACCTTGTTCTCGACTATCATTTGACGAGCTAGATAACCAACCTTTCAAGCCCATCTCATGTGAAGCCCACTGACGACACGACACTTAAAAAAAAAAAAAAATTGCGTATCCATTGGTCGAGAATTAACCAGCCACCATAGCCCACACACATTAGCAACGTCAATCCGGCGAGATCATCTCTGGGCGTGACGAAGTCCCAACAAACGTAGGAAAGAACTAAAGGGTCAGAAATACCACGAGCCACGCTTGCGGTTTCACAACATTCTCCCCACGACATTCCGTCCCAGCACGATGATATCAAAGCGCGGATCGGGAGACAAGGATACTTCACAAAGCATTCACCCCTTCTCCAAACGGGTCACCTTCTCTACTTAGCAGTATTTGCGATGCCAAATCGAAATGGCGTTTTACCCACGGTAGTAGATTATGTTTGCGGCAATGCCTATCCCCCTCATATCTTCGTTACCTGGCCCCCTAACTGAATATTACACGGGAGTGCCCACAGATTTTTGCATTGAGACTTGAGTCTACCAATATGCCAGTTCTCGAGACTACTTCTATGGAGGTCAGCGACTATGGCATCGAGGTTAGCTACGACATGTTTTGAGATCTAGTGGTCATCATCTTCGCAACATCTTAGCCAAACTTCCCTCAAGGTTCCAAGACGTGTCGATAAACGGTGCAGTTCTATCAAAACTGTAGAAAGCATAAGACAGTGATTCACATGTGCTCCCAAGAGACTCCGAGGAGGAATTTATTCACCACGGAAGTCTCATTGCTGGGAAAGCTGACACAAGGCTTTGTTTCAAAAACAACAACAAAGCCCAGATTAAACCATGAAAACAAGTCTCATCGGCAGCAGGCATTTGGATCCTAGCACCCAGCTATATGGGAAGTTATTAACATGAAGACTGTCCCCGGCGGCGAATCCACAGTTCTAAAACATATACCGATGTCAACTTCGTCGGGAGGGGGAGCTGGGAAGAGCAGAACCACTTTCAATGAAAGGGGATAACTCAAAGAGGACGAGAATTTTGCGCAGCTGCAATTCACATGTTGTTTTGTAGAATACTGGTGTTCCGGCCACAAAAACAATTAGAGCTCCCAGGGAAGTCCTGGAGTCCAGTGGATGATTGGTTTGAGGCTGTCTGCATATATAGTGAAGCTTATGAATTAATGTAGCTAGTTATAATCAAGCAGGAAACATTAATAGACATTTCTGAATGTGTCTGGTTCAATCATCCAGGCAAGAGATTTTATCAGAAGATGTGTATTCACCTGTTCACCTGCCCAGTGCTCCGTACTCATATTGATAAACAGAATTTGGTGAGGCGAAGGCTCATTCTTACACAAAATCAGCTTGAGCAACCTGCCTTCAGTGCTGTGCCCAGTGGTCTTGAAGAGAACCACTGAAGGTTTTTTCATTTTTTCATTTTTTTTTTTTTTTCCCAGAAAGTCTATTTTAGATGTTCTTTTAGTGTTTTCTCTTCCTAGACAAGGGTCTTGTCTGGTCAGCCCATCAGGACACCGTGGAGGGAAATAACTTCGTTCTGCTTCACGTCGGATTCTCGCACCAACTTCCCTTGACGGGACAGGTTGTCGGTGCCGCATCGTCAATATTAATATATCCACAATCTGGTACAAGTTAAATCTTTCTGGACAACAAAAAGTTGATGTCGATAATCAAGACAATCACAAACCAAAGTTTGAGAAAAAGCAAATCGGGCCAAATCAGCTCCGCCTCCTCCAACTCTGAATTAAAACATCATTCAATTTTCAACTTCAACCAACATGCAAAGAACCGACAAACCCAGCGTCCCTGTCCCCGCACTACCGGAGCATGAGCCTAAATGCGACTAGCTGTGAGATGTGAGATATATATGCGACGTTGCTGGCTATCGTGCCCAGTAACGCAGGGTCAGACACTGTCAGCCCTTCTATTCGCCCGCAACCAAACCAGTCTTAGAAATTTCTGCTCTCCTGTAACTACTCTATTTTCCCGCAGAAAATGAAAGTGTCTTTGAAGGCTGGAGAATGATCTTCCACCAAGGCGCCCAAGGCGCGAACCGGCGCACACATGGCATTAGGCATTAAGGATCACCTTAAGGGTGCTTAGTTACATATTTACCCGGGAACACACCATCCCATTCACTATTCTCAACGTGGTTCAAGTCCCGCAAGCACCGGAGCTGAACCAGTGAGGGGCTGCCCTTATTCACGGAATGCAGCAGGACTAAGGCTAGAGAGAATGGAGACCCACTTCGTTGTTTGCTTCCATCTACACTGCGTTATGGGAATCTATAATGACCTTGGATCCTGAAATCGGTGGCTCTCTATGCTGATCGAGCATGCTTGACCTGCACCAGACAAACAAAGCGACAGAAACGGGGACAGCAATCCTGCCTGGTAGATGTATACGAGGAACCGTTTCCCGTTCCCCGTTTTCTCGAAGCCTTGCTACAAACCACCCGCACAAGCAGTGGGTTACAGCTTACCGCTAACTACGGGCTTGTTTTGTGCATATTACATAGCATAATCTTACTTTTTTGTGCCTAAAGGAGAAACAGCATGAATGAGAAGGCCAGCGACCCGGAGAGAAACAGATACCGAGGGAAGCACTCCGTTTAGCACAAATTGGGAAAAACTGATCGACCATGCGATGATTTACACTGTGTCTGATCTCTCGCGGGTTTTGGTGTGCCTGCGTTTAGTTTCACTTTGGCTGGGTAAAGCCGAAGACTACGGACGGGAAGCAAAACAGAAAAAAAGGGAAAAAAAGAAAAAAACCTTTCCCTCCCGCCCCACTCATTCATTTTACACTGTCCGCTTTTATATACCCGGACTCGCGGAAAGAGTAAAAGCCTGAATCAAGCAGCTGAGGGGACAGCGGGGAGGGAGACGTGGATCTACCTCAATCGAGCTACTTTATGCGATGTTAAGTTTCCTATATCCCTGTACATCGGGGGTTGAAGAAACGATTCTGGCTATTTTTTCACAGGTTAAGTTACACAGGGTGCTAATATATATCGAATAGGGCAAGCTTTTTTGAAAGGATTCTCCCTCTACATCTTTTTTCTATTATTTTCTATTCTTTTTCATTTCGTTTCCTTTGGTCTCTCGATTAATCCTATCTGATAGAAAACGGCTATAGGGCAAGAGGGAGAGTGTGTTAAGAGACATGTCAGGAGATATATTTCTTTAGTATATCTCTAATCACTTTATCGCCTCTTGTATCGGGCCCATACTTCTTATTTCTTTCATCCTATTGCTCTTCTTCCTTTTGCTGCCGTCACTATTACAAATCCTTTACCCCACGACAGCAAAAGGGACGACTGCAAACAGTCTAAATACCAGGGATATAGCAATGGCTATAGCAGCAAACGAGAGCCTGACATTAACAGGCATGCCACCTGAGAATGTTGAAAAGCAGCCACTACCATCGCCAATCCCTGAAAAACAAAAAAAATCGGCGGCATTTTCTCTAACGGTCTTTTGGCTTTGCCTCGTGTCGGTGATCACATCGTTGGATTCCGTCATTATCACAGCTATCCTGCCGTCGATTGCGAGAGATCTCCCCGGTACAACAGTTCAGCTTTTCTGGTGCGGAACAGGCTTCTTGTTAGCTCAGACGGTCAGTTGTATTCCGATTCGATTCATCCTTTACCGAATAGGATATTTAATTTCTGGGCTCAAAGGCAACTGTTATTGCTTTTTTGCCCCCTGTACGACGCTAACATAACATGTCTCCTTCAGGTCACCATTCCGCTCTATGGTAGCTTTAGCGACATCTTCGGGCGTAAATGGGCTCTAAACCTCGCATTAACCATCTTTACACTGGGCAGTATTCTTTGCGCAACTGCGAAACACATGCAATGGTTGGTTGCTGCGAGAGCAATCAAGGGTCTCGGTGCCGGAGGCAACCTCAGCCTAGTCTCCGTTATCATCAGTGATATAACAACCCTTCAAGAACGGGGTTCGTACATATCTCTAGTATCTCTGGCGTGGGCAGTTGGCACGATAGCTGGGGTGAGACAACCCCCAATTTTACCTCTTTTCATGGAAAAGCCTCTTAACCCAAATGATGATGTAAAGGTCCCCATAGGAGGTGCTATCGGAGAGCGGACTTCATGGCGATGGGCATTCTGGATCAACGTTCCCATCTGCGTCGTCTCCATAATCGGCCTCACCTTCTCTCTCAGGCTTAAGATGGCAAAAACAACCCTAACGGCCAAAATTGCCCGCATTGACTTTCCAGGCATTATCATTTTTGTCGGCTCAACCACCTCATTCCTACTAGGTTTGACAACCGGCGGCACAATTCACTCCTGGGACTCCGCGAACGTGCTCGTTCCACTCATTGTAGGTGTGGCAGGGTGGGGTTTATTTATCTTTGTCGAGCTAAAGAACGCCCGCGAGCCCATGATTCCACTTCGGGTTTTCCATGACCGCACAGCCGCGACGGGGGGATATTCTAGTGTATTCTTCCATGGTTTGGTGTTGTGGTGCTTATCATATTATATTATCATCTTTGTAAGCTCCATCCTAGTTGGGTTAATCTCTCTGAGTAAATGAAGTATCCCGAGTGGTTATCTAAAATGTAACTTACTTACACTTCACAGTTTCTCGGAGTCACCCAACACGGTCTCCTTCATTCAGCCGTGGAAACACTACCAGGAACGTAAGTAATCCATCTACCCGTCCGAACACAGCAATCACAAGCCCAACCCATGGGGGGCAAAACCCCTTTTACTCTCAAGATGGCGAAATATAACCACTAACCTACCACCCAACCCAGCGCCTTCATCGCCCCCTTTTCCATTACCGCAGGAATATTGATGACAAAAACCCTCCGCTTCCAAAAGATAATCTGGGCTGGCTGGGCAATCATGACCGTCGGCACAGGCCTTAACGCTCTATTGAAACCTCACTCGACCGGCGGCATCCTCTACGGCGTGCGCATCATCATGCCCATCGGCGCCGGTCTTTTATTCCCCACAACAGTTGTAGCCGTCCAATCCGTGCAAAAGGGCGAAGATGTCGGCATCGCCACCTCCGTACAGGTCTTCGCGCGCAGTCTGGGCCAGGCCTTTGGTGTTGCGCTGGGTGCGGTGATCTTTCAAAACGAGTTTGACAGATTCGTACGGCAGGCTGTGGCGGCCGGCGGACTGATTGCGAGAAACCCACTGATGTTGATACCGGGATCACAGGCGGACGCGGCTTTTGAAATCATCAAGACGTTCCCTGAGAGTGTGCAGGAGATCTATCGATTTGTGTATGCGGATTCATTGAGGACGGTTTGGTATGTGATTACGGGGATTTCAGGGTTTGCGCTTTTGGTTAGTTTGGCGATGAGGGATGAGAGTTTGAATAAGGATGCGAAGGGGAGGCATCGGTTTGACCATGAGGGGAAGGAAGGGAGGGTGGTTGATGGTGATGGTGATGGTGATGGGCCTGGTGAACGGGATGTGAAGCGTGAGAGGTTGGAGAATGACGACGGTGTGAATGGGAGCAGTGTGGCAACCACCATAGGATGAAAAGCAGTTCATTTCTCCTTTTATGTAATGTTTGTTTTCTTCTTCTTCTCACCTTTCACAATTGCCCATGCGAGCCTTCTATACTCAATACGGACCGTTTTATGATATCTTTCTCACACAACCGATACCCTTGCATACCGTGATGTTTCTTCGTTTTTCCATATAAAGTCACGGCATGGATCCAAGCAAGTCATATAGATTTGGCTTTTAGAATAGCTTATCGCAACGTAACGCTCTGCCCCAATACAATGGAAAATAATATTTTGCAGCTGTGTGGTGGTACGGCGTGTTATTGGTTTGTTTGTCGGGCTGGGTTGCAACCTGTCTTGATAGATACATATTCGAGTCAAGAAGATAGAGACCGACAATAGCACTGAAGAATTGTTCATATAAACCCTCAAAGAAAATATGCGCACAGCAATCTCATTCCATGACATGCTACACTGTTATTAAAATCAATAGCAGGAGAATCCCTAGCCAAATAGACGATCCTGTACCAACAAAAGAAAAAAGAGAAAAAGAAAAAAGGGAATAAGATATCCAGAAGTAATACACGTATGTCTGCAGAATAAAAGAAGCAGATAAATCCTCACTTTTTGAACCTATCCATCCATCCATTCTACAGAAACAAAAAGGAGAAGAAAAAAAAAATCAGTCCCATCACCGATACCCACCCCCACCACCACCACTCCGATGTTTAGCCCTCGTCTGCAAATTCGCAAAGAGCAACTTAAACCCATTGCACAACGCCATCATATCCGGATACGGGTTGCGCTGCAACTCATACCCCTGCGGAATAACTTTGACTGTCCAGCTGTTCAGCTGCGCTTTCTCTCCCGCTTTGAAGCACAGGTGGAAACAGCCCGGGTGGTTTGGATCAATACAGAAAGCATACACAGAGCGGCGTGGGTTGGCTTTCGTGTATGTGTCCAGCCAGCGTTCTGGTTGTCGGGGAATTGCGGTGTCAGTATGAAAATGTATTTATTTGAGGGATTTACGCGACAGGGACTGGGTTATGGCAAAGGGGAGGGAAGGAAGGAAGAAAAAGAGAGAGAGATAAACGTACCGGTATCGCCTTTACTCCCATCCTGAAACTTCTCATGCATCATCATATCATCCACCTTCTTTGCCATAGCCTTGATATGATTGACAATAAGTTCATCAAGATCACTATACGAATACCGCCCGCCCACCTTCAAAATTTTTCCCACCGAAAATTCATTCTCCTTATCCAGCTCCAGGATATCAAGGTGCTGATAGATACCTTCAGAGACCTTCCAAGTAACCGCAAGATGATCAATGCCGTTCGACGATGGTCGAATAACGACATCCCCCCGACTCTGCGGCGCAAGAAACTCTTCCGCCTGCGCCGCGTTAAACGGGCGGAAAAGCGGATGCTTAATAACACGCATCGTCCTACCGCTCGTCTCCGCCTTCTCGCGTGACGCTTCGCGATCAGCGTCTTCTTGTCGGTCATCCCATTCTCCACGTAGCCGATCAAAGTGGCGTCGATATGGCTTGCTAATCTCACTTTCTCGCAGGGAGACGTTAGCCTGGAAAAGTTTGCGATTGAGGTAGAGGATTTTGCCCTGGACAGTTTGGTGCGGTGCAAATAGACTGCGGATGGGGATGTCGTAGCGATCTGTGATTTCCACTTCGCCGGCGACTGCGTCGATGCCGCAGTCTAATTTGCCGTCGATGTGGTCATCGGTAACACGCTTGATGGATATGGGAACGATCATCCCCTCAGCTAGGGATTCGTGGGTCTCGCCTGTGAGCATGGTGAAGATAGCGTCTGTGCTAAGGAAGACGAATTGTTTACGCAACTCCTCGTATGGTTGTTGCAATTCCGCACGGATGGTCTCGAGGGTAGCTCGTTTTCGCTGGTTGAGGTTCTTCTCCAGCTGTTCGGCATACTCCTCGAGAATGAGGTCATTGACTCTGTCCTGCGCATCTTCCTTGACGAGTTTACGAACAATAGCTCCCTGCCCATTCTCGTCTGTTTCAGCCTTGATATCTTCCTCGTCAAGCTCAAGGGCATCAGCAGCCATTTTCCGACCAATGTCATAATCTTCGGGGTGGACACGAGTATTGTCGAGGTAGTCAGCGTCGGGGTCCGTGCTATCGTAATCAATATAGAGGAAACTAGCGCAGTTATTCCAAACTTTAACCCCCATAGCTGGATAATGAGCATTGACTCCTAGAAGCTCGATCCGATTGTTAACAATGCCCCCGTTCATGTTGATAATCTTGAGAAGATGGGCAGCTTTCCGGGGGCCAAGTCCGCAGACGTAAGGGAGTAGATTTGCAGTGGCAGTATCGGTTGCAGCCTCATTGATATCAACGCCACAGAGATTGACCATATCCACCAGTGCCGTTTCGAGCTGTTTCAAGATCTTGTCCTGAGGAACCAGTTGTTGACCGGGCTTGAACTGAATCGATACAATGTCTCTGCCCAGTGATGCATACTCCTTCATCGGGTTCTGCAGGTATTTGGCCAGTGCAACACAGTAGTGAGTCAGAGCAGCGAAACTAGGATGTTCCATCTTAGCCCGTTCACTGGTCTGGTAGAGACGCGCAACTTCATCGTTCACAATAATCACTTCTAGGAGATCATTAGCCTCCTCATCGTAATCGTTGGTATAGGTAGCGCCACGCAGGTCCTTGGAAGAGACAAGATCCGACAGCTGCTTGTAAAGCTTTCTAGTTTCCGGCGAAAACCCAGAGACACCAATGACATCAGGTTTGCGTCTCTCAACGAGCTCAACAAAGGCAGCCACGTCTTTCCCATCAGCGATCATGCGACCCGAATCTCCTGGGGAGAGATCAGTAAATTTCCCATTCTCAAGCACTCTGCCATCTTCTTCAACCCACGCCCAGTAAATGGGATCCTTCCCGACAATACCGTTTCCATTAGACAATGCAAGGACTCTGGGAATAGTGCCAAGAATCATACCCTTCGGCTTATAGGGAGCCTGGTCGAGCCGTAACGAGAACGCCTCTCTGCATTCCTTGGCGACATGATTCTCACATTCCGTTCTGATGTTCTCCTTTACACCGCGGCTCATGATTCTCTCTAATTTTCCAAGGGCCATATCAACGACTTCTTTCCGCTCTCTATTCCACGCATCAGCCAGTTCACTGAAATTGTCCGAGACAATGTGCGAATATAGATTTTTCTTGAAATTGTCAAAGTTCTGGAACCGGACTTTAACATCCACCAACCCTTCTTCCTCCGCCTTGAGCATTCGGAGGAAAAGCTCAGGTCGTCTCGCAATGTCTGTAAGCTGTTGATTTCGTAGATATTTGAATTCGTAGTAAGGATGTTGTTCGTCAACCCTTTTCAACCCCTTTTCAGTCCTGAAACATTCAATAACGCCGTTCATGTAGAAAGCCTGTCTCATGACCTTGCGCATCTTGGGACTCATGGTAATCTCTTCAGCAAACATTGCTTTGGCAGCCTTCAAGGCATGGCCGCCGTTCGTGAAGATGTCGTCAAGAAGATTATCAGCTGTCACGTCGGGTGGCTCTGCGGGGTCTTCAGTATATTGCCGTTTCCCTTCCTTGAGAGCATTTTGTGCGAAAGCATCAGCTGTGATACCAAAAGCACGAACTAGCTCGTATGCACGGCTATTTCTGACACGTTCGGAGAAAGATCTCGTAGTAGCTTTCCGTCGCTGTTTAGAAGTCCCATTCTCACCACTTCCATTAACAATGGTGATATCCTTTAGCTGAGCGGGATACTGGAAATAGAGGTATTCCTGCACGTCCTGCAGCTCCTCCATGGTTACAGCCTGAGGCAACATCGATTCAAAGATGTCATCATGTACGTTGCAGATGGTTTGCAGGTTATCATAGGTCTTCTGCAGGGTGTTTCGTTTGTCGATAAGCGACCGGAACTTCAAATCGTATTCGAAGATGTCCCACAAGTCCGTCATGTTCAACAGCTTCTCAGCCTTGACGACATATTCTGGACCATCTGGATTAGAACGATCGGGGGAGACGGGGACCTTTGCAGCATGGATGAGATAGTCCTTGCGATGCTGGAATATAAACGGAACTTCCCAGTCATCTGTTATCATGAACTCGAGGACTTTGGCGATAGATCGCTGAAACGGTTCGCGTAGGTCCGGATCTAGGCGTTTTTTTAATAACATAAGGTTTGATATCCAAATGGCCTCCTCTTTAAACTGCTCCTCAGTTAATATGACGTGTTTATATTGTTTTCTCGCGACTTGGCACCGTTCAGGCTCATCGGTGAAGCAAATGACATTGTCTTCCTCCGTCAACATCTTTTCCGCCAGCTGAGATGGTTCGAAGACGTCCTTCAAGTCCAGATGCTTTTCCTTATCTTCATCCCTCTTTTCATTTTGTTCTTCGGTGTCGAGGGCAAACATATAGTCATTTCCATCACCAAAGGCCATGCGCATGTCCTCTAGGGCAGTTTCGTCAAGGCCTGTGGCATCCGTCACCCCTAGTCCCGACAATCCCTTTCTCATGGGGCGGGCGATTTCCTCATCCTCCTTTAACTGTTCAGGATCTTCATCAGAAAACACATCCTCCTCGATGAAGTTCTCCATATCATCTTCCATTCCTCTCCGCTCGTGGCGTCCAATCCGGCTATAACGATCGACCTCATCCTCCTCTTCATCGGAGTTGAACATGTCGTCGATGCCGTGAGACACATGGCGATCTCTGTCCGCCTTGTGGCCGCGCTTTAGTCTCTTGAACTTGGACTGCTAGATAAAAATAAAAAAGACAAAAATGATTTAGCTCTAGCACGTTGTGTTATGATAACTTTTTTTTTTTTTTTAAAGTAAACAGAGTCGGACTCTCGGCCATACCTCAGTGGGGAGAGCGCGCTGTAGCTCAGGGTTATTTTCTCCGATTAGGTAGATATCTTCTTCGTCCAGAGCCTCGTCTTCCCGTTCGCGTTCCTCCTGACGACGTCTTTTCCGTTCACGACGACGTTCTTCCCGTTCCTCTATTTCCTCATCTTC